ACCAGGGGCTTTATAACCTGGGGGCTTCTTTACTGGGATGTTTTTACCAGTGGCTTTACACTTTGTGGCTAAAGATAACTAGTATTTTGTTTTAGCTATGGATTGTTGGACAAGAGGTTTCAAACTGTAGAGTTTAAAAAAACATCCAGCCAACTCTTTGAAGGACATAACTAACAATAGTTCTGTAACATCAACTCGTGATTCTATAGAAAAAACACGACAATAAAACTGTTCAAAGACAAAGATCAAGACAATCATACTGATACAAAGAGCGCGGAAAATGAAAAGTGTTTTGCAGAAGAATACGAGGAAAAACTACAGTCGGCTCTAGTAGAATTAGAACAAGAAATTCATTTGACAGAAAATATTTTAGACTTAGGGAAAAACAATGATTTATCATCCAGCTTTCTCAACAATGCAGTAATATCCGGCATAGAGCAAACGGATACAAACTTTGATAGTTTTATTTTTTCTGATGAGATGCTCAATGCCAATACAACAAACGATATAGATGCGCCAACAGAAACTCCTATGAATTTCGAAAAAAACCTACGAGAAAGAAATATTAGCGATGGAGATAGTTATGAAGAAGATGCAACAAATAATCCAGAAGAAGTAGACAATGAAAACAATGACCCTACATATCAAAACGGCAATGATAGGGAACAACATTTTGATGAAGAAAATAATGATTCTAGTGAAGAAGTTTCACGAAAAAGGAAGAAAAAAAGATTTTCTAATCCTGCAGAATGGAAATAGAATGCTAATAAAGTAAATAGAGAGAAAGGGGTTGAGTATATTGGTAGAAAAAATAACAAATTCGACAGAAAGAAAACTAAGAGAGTAATGAAACCGAGATATATGTGTGCAAACAAAACATTAAAAAACCGGTAAAGAAATAATAATTCAGTGTAACAAATTGACGGATGAAGAGCTAAAATTAATTTTCGTGAAGTTTTGAAAATGAAATGAAAAGATCAAGGCATAGAAAAGAATCGGAAGTAAGCTAGAGGATATCTTCATATAAGTATTTTCTTAAAAACAAAAGCGAAAAAATTAGGGTTTGTAAGCTCATGTTCTGCAATACATTAGGAATTTCTATGAGAACCATATCAGAGTTGATAAAAGATGAAATGTATAGCCCAGCCAAAAGTGAAAATGAACAGAATAGTGATAAAAATATCCAAAAAAACCTTCACGCTTCGATGAAGGAAAGCCAAATTTGAAATTTTTTTTTAAAGATCTGCCCAAATTTTAATCACTATTGTCGAAAATCGTCAACAAAATTATATATAGACCCAACGTTCAAAACCAAATCGGAGCTTCATTTACTGTATAAAGATAATTGGTGTGTAGAACATAATATAGCTCCATCATCCATTGCCAAATTCTCAAACATGTATGAAGATCTGATTTAAGCATTGTTTTTGCCAAAAAAAGACGAATGCGATGTCTGAATAAGCTACAAGACAAAAAATCTAGAGGAATCTGTTTATAGGGAGCACATTATCCAGAAAGAAGAAGCACGGGAAGCAAAAGCAGACAAAAATTAAAAAAATAGGGTATTTAGGATAGACCTCCAGTCAGTACTTTTGTGCCCGAAATCGAACGTATCATCAGCTCTGTACTCTAGCCATCTTTGTACTCTGTACAAAGATGACTATTGTTTTCTCTGGCATGAAGGTCAAGGAGAGCACAGTGCCAACTGTTTTTCATCAATAATTTGTAACTTCTTGATAAGTAATGTAATTCCCCAGCTTGAGCCAATGCAACAAATAATATTATATAGTGACGGTTGTAGCGTTCAAAACCGTAATTGCACTTTAAGCAACGCGTTGTTAAATCTTGCACTCGTAAAAACATGTTTTTATCATCCAGAAATATTTAGAAAAGGGCCACACCCAAATGGAGTGTGACTCTATGCATTCTACCATAGAGAGGCAACTAAAAGGTAGAACCATTAATGTGCCAGCTGATTATGTCTCCCTATGTAAATTGGCTTGAAAAAATTCTAGACCGTATGAGATGATCTATTTAGATTACACTTTTTTCAAAGACTTCAGTAAACTCAATTTAATAAAATCAATTAGACCTGGATTCAAAGTTGGTGATCCAACTGTTAACAATCTTAGAGCACTTAAGTATAATCCAGATGGTAAAATCGAGTTTAAGATTAAACATTCAGAGGAATTTAAGATATGCCTATTAGATTAAAACCAAATTCAAATTATGTATCAATTGACTTTCTTCCTTTATTGTACAAAGAAGAATTGAAAATTAAAAAACAAAAGTTCTTTATGTTGTTTCATTAGTATTTATTTTCAATTCAATAAAAATAATGCCTTAGTTATGCAAATAATATTTTATGTTTATGTTTTATTAGATGAAATCTGCATAAGTCCCTCTTCGTACTGGATATAAGAATGAATTTTGCATAACTCCTTTATTTTTCAGCAGATAACTATTATAAAAAGAATCAATACTTGATAGCAGTTCCCTAAATGTATTTTTCATCCAAATTTCATTTTCACCCAGATTACATTATTTTTAAAGAATTAAAATAGTTTTTTTAGTTCTCCTGTAAAATTAAGGTTCTTGGACTTGTGCAATTTTCACATTAGGCCGACGATATAGTATTTTTATTAGTTAATTCTTGTTGATATACTCATTTTCTGAACAGAAATATTTGGGTAGCTACAAATTTTCAAGAGACATTTGGAAATTATGAATGGCTTGGTATTGATGCAAATATTATGGGTCTCTCTTTTCAAGACAACCCTGACAGAAATCTAATTGGATTTCAGTGAATATAAATATTTAGGATCTCAATGAACGACATAACCGACGGAAGAACTCTGTTTAGATTTCAGTAATATTCGGACATTCGAGCTCTTAATAAAAAAATGATAGAATATTGATGATGTGTTTTCGAGAAAAACGCGAGAAATACATATGTTGTAATATATCAATGAATTTGTAATTACAATGACAACCAAAATGTATGAAAAAATATATTGATGATGGATTTCAATGCAGCATTGGAAATTGGATTGAAACAGGTTATGAAATGAAGCAAAAAGTCCCTCTGTCATTTTTTGATATTTTTGAAAATGGAGACGGAAGAGCAAAAAAATAAAATCTGTCATTTTCAGTTTTTTGCAAATATGTCAAAAACGGTTACTGATTTTTTCGATGTGAGAATACCATTATGTTGCATTCGTAAAAGGGTAACTTTCGTTCCATTTAACCATCCTTGTAGGACCTACTGTTCCAAGATAGCAATAGTGGTATCAGCTAAAGAAATGGCCTGTATATATTCTATATATTCAAAAGCAAGGAAAATTCGTGGACGAAGCACTCAAAAAAATAAGCAAACCGCAGACAAGTGTTTTTAGCTCATTAGCTCATCAGTGCCTCACTCACGAATTTTCCCTGCTTTTGAATATATGGAATATTTTGAAATTACTGAATGAATATTAAATGAAAGTCACTTTTGTGATGGAATCAAATTTTGTGATTTTTTTGGGATTTTTCACCTTCCGTAATGGTAATAGAAAACTTTTATTAGGTGTAAAAAGCACAAAAACTATTTATCAATTGTGTGTCTTATATAATTTTTCCTATCGATAGAAGAGTTCGGTAATTTTATTACGAATACTTATTTGTCATAGAATATATTTTTGTGGATTATGTAGTATTGATTGAGAATTCAATTGCTTGTCTCTAATTCTATAATTATCAAATTTTGAGAAAATTATTCGTCATTCACTTAACCACAAGCTGAACTTTGTTCGTTTATTTTGAATCGAAATGCCGGAATTACATTATTATATTGTGGTGTGGTGTGATGCTTTCCTCTGATTCGGATAGTTATATTAAAGTAAAGTTTATTTAAAAAGAAAAGAAAAAAGAGAAAATATTGGTTTCATCCAGTAAATGATCTGAGAGGTAGTCGAAGCGAATATCATTTACTAGTGCTGAAGAAAGATTTCATCAATATTTCAGGATGTCAAAACATCAATTTGAGATATTAAAAAAGTTGATTTGTTGAATCACTGGTGTTGCTCGTACTTCAAGTTGTAGATTTTTTTAAAACTTACCAAATTTTAACCTTGCCGTGTTTGTACATATTTGAAGTGTTTTTTTGTTTTTTGTAATTTAAAATCTTTCAAAACTAATAAGCAAATTCACACTAATAATACAAGACAGTGAAATGAATTACACGTGATATTTTCAAGGTATAATCTTTTATACAGGTCACCCACTGTGACTGGACAAACTTCAGGTTGAAATTAAATCATCTGTAATATTGAAAGCATTCAAACAATGTCTTAGAAAGTATCTGTTTGGAGGTGCATTTTACTCATTAGAAGAGTTTTAGTCTTAGTTTTAGTTCTTTTTTTCCAGTTAAGTAGCTATTGTTCTTTGACAAATTGTATACAAACATGTTTCTGCATGTCACTAAGAAAACTAATCTACCCTATAAACATTGGAAAACCTACTTGAATAACTTCCTACTAATTTTTGAGCAAAATTGTTTGGTGTTTAGTAACAAATTTGTTAAATTTTGGCTTTCGACACCTGAAATTAAGTTTTCCATTATAATTTCAATTTATATCAATATGCGAAAGATGAAAATATCTCAATAAATATTCACAAGAATACTGAATAAAATGAAGCGTGTATGTTAAAAACAATTTGAGTAGTTGATTCTGTTTCTATCCACATGAGTTACATTTTTTAAACGGAAGAGAAATGTAGATATGTCTTCAAACTTTTCATTAGATTTGATTGACTTGAATATCAGAAAATTTAAGGATTAGGTTAGTAAATCTTCTTTAGATGTATAAATTACAATATGAACTAATGATAATTATCTTCGAAATTATTTATTACTTCCTTTCAAATTCGAATTTAAAAATGTATTGACAAATACAATAATCATACATAAGCATGAAAATCAAAATAATAATAAAGGTAAATAAAATAAAGGAACTCACCACTTCCACTAAGAACAGATTCCTCTTTATTATATCCGTATACTGTGTTCTCACTATAAAATGGCATTGGCATGTACTCTAAAGGATTGTAGGTACCACTGTATGGCATATAATTGGGAACGTTTGGTAGTGGACCCACACTATCAGTATCACCCTGTATTTTCAAGTTTGTCATCGCTGAACATAAGTCACCAAAAATGTAGTAACACTGAAACACAATATCATAAAAATGATTGATTTCATAATTGAAGAAATTTTTGATAACAAAAACAAATTCTGAAATAATACAGTAGAGCCTCGTTAATCTGGACAGTCCAGATGATCGCAACCATTTGCCGTCACCCTTTAGTCTTCTGTTTATTATCTGCACTGTTAGTAACTAGTCGTTAGACACATTGCGTATTATAGAAATGTTAAATAAAGGTGACAAATATCCTGCCATTGCTCGGAAGCAATATACAGAAGAACAAATATAAAATCTTGAAGTTTGTTAGCCAAACAGAACAGGTTCCTAGTGCACAAAAACCACTAAAGAGTTCAGAAAATCCTGTTTCAGAATATGCTTTATTACATGGTTTTTGCAGTAAAGGCGATTGCATGTTCTTGTTAAGTGGTGATATGATTTGCAAGAAAGCTCGTTATTTTCATCGCCAAATTTCCAACTGTAATATCGGATTTAATGCAAATAGAGGTTGGTTAGATAAATTTATGAAGCGGCAAAGAAAAAGACGTTTAAAAATGGTGGGGAAAACTATCAAGTGATGAATTTGCTATCGGACCATTTCCAAAAGAGTTTCATAAATTTATTCAAGAAAAAAATCTAACAGCGGAACAAGTATACAATTCCGACGAATCTGGTTCATCAACACACACAAGCATTTAAATCATTATATCTCCCAATTTGCTGTCGTGAGCAGAAAAATGCTTGGGTTACCAAGTATTTGTCCCTTGAATGGATTATACGGAATTTGTTCCCGAGGTCCGTTGCCATGTTTTATCTGTCAATTTACCTCCTCATGCAATGTTACTGTTGGTTACTTGTCCCGGCCATGCGTCAGCAGACAAACTCATGTACGAAAAAAGTAATATTTTTGCAATTTTTCTGTCACTTGACACTACAGCGTGTATACGACCAATGGATCAGAACGTTATAAAAAGTGTGAAGATACATTACCGCAAATCACTTTTGATTAACCGAAGTGTTAACTGATGAGGAGATTGTGCAAGCAGCAAAGTGTGAAGAAGACGAGCAAGATGATAACAGTGATGAAGTTGTCGCCTCCAAAAAAAAATTCAAAACCATAAACACGGCTTTACAAAGAGATGAAGATAACAAATTCGATAGCAACGAAGTTATGTTTCTCTGTCAACTCAGAAACTGTGCTTTTGAAACGAAAATTTATGAGCCGATGTGAATCACATATTTTTTCAAGAACAATTAACTTTTTTTTTTCAGTTCATGGTGAGTGCCAAAATTTCGTACATGTTTGAATTTCTTTGTAAATACCTTTGTACGTTCATACATATTCTTGTCTGAACTGACTTTAAATTTTTACTTTAATAAATAAAAGCAAAGTTGAAAATGTTCTATGTTGTATAAGAATATTGCATACTATAATCTGTGCGCCTCGGTAATTGACAAATAGTCTTGTCTTTCCCTATCCAGATTAACGAAGCCCTACTGTATCACAAATAAACAGTTCACACTAATCTTACTGATATTTCACTTTTCCAACTAGTGAAAATATTTCGGTATATTTGTAAAGATGAACACATATGTGGTTAATAACCTGTTTAGTAGTAATTATAATAATAATTTACAGCTGGGTGTATATCTTAAAACTCTATAGCAAAATGGCAACTAAAATAAAGTATAAAACCAACATGACAGGAGTAGAAAACCATCTGCAAGTGTGTTATGTGAATAAGCAATTACTTTAATAAACGAATATGATGAAAGAATAAAACCTAGTTACCAAAAATACAAGTGTCAGTGCAAATTATGGAGATTATTAAAATTACCTGTTCAGAAAAAGTAATTTTATTCACAGTATGCCTAATGAAGCCTGCTTTGAGCAAATGCGAAGCATACTTTCTGGCATCCCGCCTCTCCTGAAAGCCTTCAACACGTGTCAGTAACCAATCTATCATGTCAGTTCCAATGAAGGCATTGGGGATTGTTATTTTCAGCCACATTCTGTCTCTAATTTCCAGACCGCTGTCAGTTCGCTGCATTGCTTGTACAACTTGAGACATTGGCGAGTTAACAGAAAGGGGTTCATCGATACCTGTAAAACATATCTTGTAAAGTGGGAATTGAAAAGACACAACAGATATTTTACACAAAATGAGGTCATCGAGCATTTTGCAACAAAAACAATAATATCAGATGAAAACAAAAAAAAAAGGTCACCTTCACTTTTGATCTACAAAATGGGCATGCAAAAGTGCCTAAATGAAAATTTTCATATAGAAGTGACAATTATAAATACAAATAAAAACTGCCTACAGTGTAAAAAGTGGTTTACTCATAAATTTGCTTGATAACAAAATTTGCCGAAATTAAATTGGGATTTTCAATTCAGTTTATCCCAAGCGTTATTTTATATTTAACGTATTTAAAAAACACTTTATTGTGAGATTTTCATTAAACAGTTTTACAAAATGCAACACGTATTTCGCTATACAATAGCTTCTTCAGGCGTGTCTTGAAATCTACTACACCTCACGATTTGATCTCCACAAACTTTATTTGAAAAATATATCAGGACATGTTTCACTAACACAGTAGCTTCTTCAACGGTGATTTGAAATACATTTGTGGAGATCAAATCGTGAGGCGTAGTTTATGAAATTACTATGGATCTTCATCAAGTAATGGCCGAATCAATCAGAAAAAAAAAAGAAAATTAGAATTGAATAACTCCCCGTTACTGAATATTCTTTCAAATGTGGAAACTGGTTATTAATGTTGAAAAACCACCATTTTCATAATTTGTTAATTCGTTTTCTTTCACATTGTATATGTTTATAGGTAGTTAAGAGATTAATTTTGACATAATAATAAAAGTGTGAGTTGAGTTGTCTAAAATAAATACAATCATTAGAGAGTTTACTTGAGATATTTCCTCTACTTCAACAATTAACTGATACATAAGCTCAGGTAATTTCATTCATTACCTGTTTATTTGAATAAGTTCAACTTTTTTTCTTTGTTCATAAATAGAATATCTGATGATGTATGTGAAGGAAAAGGAAAAAATAATACAATCGTGTAGTGGAAAAAATGAAGAAGAAACCCCCATTAACAATATGGTTGAGGTAAAAAAGATGTTGAGTCTGTATTTAAAAAAAAGCTCTACAAATGACAACAAATAACAGTAATAAAAATAATGATATTTATTTCGAAATACAGAACAGATGGATCAAGAACCAGTTCCAACATCTAACATCAGCAATGAAGAACGAAGAGCTCTGAACGGCCTACGTAGAGATAACACCTCAATATCTTACCTGCAGATAAGGGAAATGCTAAAGACATCAAGTTAAATTCTTAGGAATTTATCTTGATGAAGCCCTAAATTTCAGAAATCACTGCATATATGTTTCTAATAAGTTGAATATACTGGTGTATATGTATAAAAACCTACGTACTGTCCTAGATCAGCAACACCTTATTTCTGTTTATTATGCACAAATAAAGACACACCTATGATATGGAGTAATTTTCTGAGGCCGGTCCGCTTATGCTTATAAAGTCTTCTTGGTACAAAAAAAATCATCAGAACAATTGCAAAAGTATTTATAGTACCTATTCATGTGTGGATTTGTTCAAAAAATTTGGGCTATCAACTCTAAAATTTGTTTATCTTTGAACTTTACGTTTATGTTCATTCAAATAAATGCTCTTTGGAACTTGTTAAAAACAAACACTACGTAAATACGTGTCAGAAGAATAATATATACAGGGTCCTGCAACAGTGGCGCGGTGTTCCATATCTCTATATAGGAAGCAGATAGGAATCTAATTTTCTATAATATTACCTTATTGCTCGAGCTCGACAAAATAAAAATATTGGCGGTCTCTATACAGCAAATGAAAGTATTGGAAATACTGAGATTAATTTCACTAATTTCTGTTGAATCAGAAAGTGGTATAAAACTGTGATTTTTGAAAAGCTCAACTTTTTATCTACTTCAATTCTTACGAAATTTATGTCTATGTTTCAGTTACCATGAACCTTATTAACCCTGCCAAAACCTCAAATAAAACTAAGTAACATTGTCAACCCATTGCATTGGTCAGTCTGTAGTAATTTTAGTTGAAATTGAAAATCAGTAACAATTAATGAATTTTGGACAGTCATTAGAGAGGTGGGCTAATCAGATCCAACAATTCATTGAGAACTGTTGTCGACTTAGAAAATAAGAGTGTCCTTTTAAATAATAATTTATAGGTATGCTACATAATACAAATCAACAAAAAATCTCCTACCATTTGCTTTCTTATTTTTTTACATCAACCAAATTGAACAAGAACAGAACAAAAAAAAGCATTCAACATAAAGCTAACTGCATACATACCAGGACCTAGTAGACACTCACGTTCATTGGCTGGTATTGTACTAGCTATTGACGAGCTCGATACAGTAGAGCTACTAGGAGGTCTTGCTACTGGATCTCCTCTGACAGCTGCTGTGTGAGCCACCCAAGCACCTAAATATCGATTTTAACCTTGAAATACTTAAATTCATAAGACAATGAAAATACCCATACCTGGATCTATAGGTCTTACTGGTTCAGTTCTAGGTATCGTAAAATATCCTTTGGGATTTGGATCCCAACATTTGGCAACAACTAATTTTATAGGCCTGAAATGAAAAATATGATTACAAACAGAAAATTACTTTTTAAAAATAAAATATGGTAGCGAGATATTCTTACCCCGGTTTTTGTACAACTTCTCTTAATACCTTAACAGCCTCATCATTTGACATATCTTCAAAATTAACATCATTAACTTGTAATATCATATCACCTGGTTCTATTCTACCATCTAAAGCTACTGCACCTCTAAAACGTTATTTGAATGAGATATGAAATTAGAATTTAGAATGTAAACTTACCCCTTCATTATAGATCCAACATAAATTCCGCCATCACCACCCTTATTGCTTTGCCCTACAATTGAGATCCCCAAGAAATTAACTGTGTCCATATTAAGAGTAACTGTTATTATATTCAGAGACATTGTAGAATCTGTTATACTGGAGTATGAACTTGTCCTTGACATGGCCTGAAACAATAAAATGTCCTTTATTTTTGTGGGATTTGGACATAGTGGATAGAGATTCAATGTTCTTAGAACTACAAAAAAATGTTCATCATAAGTGATATGAAACTCGTATTTTTGGATAGTTGTGATAACGAACAAAAAATATTTTTAAGTACTTTATATATCATTTGAAAGTAGATTAAAACTAAGGGCTATGCTCATTACCTGCAATCTTTGTTTTCGCCTCCTTTGAGGTCTCTTTCGACCAGCCACATGCAATCGGCTAATGCTGGAACACTCTGACAGAGCAGTGTGCCTTCCCGTTGTTTCTGACTGAAAACTTGTGGTTTCCAGATCAGAACTCACTATTGATGCAGTCTCATATACTCTAAAAAATATTAAAATTTCAAATCAATTTGTAACACAAAATTTATAATTCATGATGGAATTTATGACATCTAAACAATAAGAAAGTAGATTGCACTATGCATCATTAAAAAGGGAATATAAAAATGAATTGGAACCATATTTCAATTTGTTTACATCTTTTTTAATTGAAAACTGAAAAATGAAAATTGTCAACTGGTGAAATGCTCAAAAATCTGTTTTTCCGTTAATCGGCTAAAAACAGTGAATGAAGTATTTGCTAAAACAGTCTTAAATCTACAAGATGAGATTATTTTTTCCATTATAATAGATAAAAGATAACTCCATGAAACTTTCCCCTGTTGAACGTTCATAATAAATGTAGAAATCAAATCGTCGGAAAGGTTTCGATATTTTTTTTCATTAACAATCATCATTTCTTCATAATTCTCCTATATCAGAAGATAAATAATTATAACAGTTTGATACACTGTGAGGATTCTAATACGAGCAATTTGCTTAACGATCGTGACAATTTCTTATCCGGCTCTTACTGTGATAGAAAGAATCACCATATTATCCTAGATTATTTTGAGGAGGATAGTACTTCTAGTATGGAGTGTGCTTTAATTGAAGCACTTGCAGAAGTGATAAAAAAACTAACTATGGTCAGTAGAATAACCAAACAGAATGGTGAAACATAGTTATCTCAAACAGTGAAATCCAAAAATTTGCTCCTCGATTCATATGATATACACACATCGGAAAAGTCTAGGGATATTTTTATAACATACTAAATATCATAAAAATAAATGTGTAAGGAAAGAATATTGAAAAAAAAATAAAGGCAAAAATAAACTAATCGATCACAATCTTCTTTTCAGTCCTTTTAAATGAATCCAAAGAAGAATTGAAAAGTTCTAAATCCACATTGTAAGTGTTTGCTAGTCTCAAAATTCTACCTAAAGACTCATTCTGGCCATAGTTAGATGAAAGAGTACTTTGAAAATTTCTGTATTTCTTGTTCTCTTTGGTTTTACATATATGCAACAGATGCCCAGGAGTTCATTAGTTATCTATGGGATAGTTTATATGAAGACGTAAATGGAACCACTGAGAGACGTACCCAAGTTTTCATGAAAAATTGAGCAACAGAGAAAAAATACAACATTTATTTTCAACTTTTAACCTGATACTAATACCCTCACGATATTCTTTGATGTAAGCAACCTGTACACATCTGTTCCTAAATCTGAAACCCTACCTTTAGTTTCCAACGTGCTTTCACAACACCTAACATCTGACTACAAGAACAGATATACTAACTTTACTCAACTTTTGCATTTTCCAAGATTTTATCGTTTTCAACAATAAATTTTACAGTCAACCTGAAGGCCTGGCAATGGGTAATCCCCTTTTACCTTTCCTAGCCGACATTTTTATGGAAAATTTAAAAAATTCATTCATCATTAATAAAATTGATAAGATTCTCAGCTGGTACCGATATGTTGATGATTGCCTGGTTTTCATAGATGGCAACTCCAATCTTCCATATGACATTCTTGAATCCCTAAATAAGTTACATCCAAAAATCAAATTCACTCTTGAAATTGAAAAAGATAATGAATTAAACTTTCTAGATCTTACTATAACAAAAATTAACAACAAACTAGATTTTTATATTTACAGAAAAAACACACCCAGACTGATCATGTCATCCCTCTCAATTCATTTTATCTTATGCAACATAAAATGGCTTCTTNTGAATAGTGTCTTGGTGAAATAAAGAAACCTAAACATTTACTATTTTGACAAATACCAGACAAATACAAGTGCTTCACTTTGTATTTATATTATGTCTTACTGAAAAAACAATTCTCTCAGATTAATGCCTCATACACACATTTCCTAATTCTTTGTATCATTCATATTGAAAATTAACAGAGTAATATTTCAGTGACCAATTTTAGTTTCAAACTATCACTTCGACCTTCCATTCTGCTAGCAAATATGAACACTATTTTTTTTTCTTGTTTTTTTTTTCTTGAACTTCCACCCTAATTATGCTTTACTTACCTTGGAAGATGTCCGTTTATACGTGATGAGTATTTGTGATGCCGTCTACCTTGTCTTGAACTAATGATACTTTCGGTATCGGTACAAACCGATTCTGGTGCTGGAGGAGGTAATCTTATTTCTGATTGGTGCGTTACGCTATCTGTGCATTGGGAACCGCCATCGGATTGATTTGACCCATCTGCTGATACCAACTTTAACAAAACAAAAAAATCAAAGATCAAACAAAATAAAAACTAGTATTTTGCAAAGTATATTATGAAATTTGATAATAAATAAATGGGCGCATGTATCTATCATTTTCTGACAGTAATAAAAAATTACAACTCAAAAGTTGTTTTGTGTTTTGTTTGTAGGTGAGTCCATATCAGGAAAAATGATTCAGCATGTCTACTTCAGAGTTACAGCCAGTCTTTCCACAGGAGTTATGAGTTTTGTAAAATTCAACAACTTCATCAATCTCGGCTGACCCATTAATAACAATTTGTCAAATGGAGAGCAAGTTATGAAATTTCTCTCAAAGTAATAAAAAATGAATTTCAAAATGAAGGCTCTTGTTTCTCATTACTGGGAGTCTGTGTGTCACGTTCCAAAAGTACCAGGTGAATCTTTTGCTAATCTTCGACAGTCATCAATTTTTTCTGAAAATTCTACTGCTTCAAACCAGTTCAAATGTGATATGTGATTTAACAAAACTCAATTGAGTGTTACCAAAAATTGATTCTGTACTCCAAACAAGATTCGAGGTAGATTTCAATAGGTAATTCAGCAAAGAATTTTCCTACATATTATTAAATTTCTAGGTCAAAATCCAATTCTTTTTTTTGATTTGCTCTCCCCGGAATGGTTTCAATTCATAACGAGGATAAATGTTCGATGACACTAGCCATAAGATCAGTAGGGAATTCATATGTCTGTATCCTATTGTCATGAGGCTCACTCTTTGCTGAAATGTGATACATTTCTGAGCGTCAATCCCACTGACAGAGATGTTTTCCAGAAATGGAAAGTTGTGTTTCAATTGCTCAGCAACCTCACATTGAAGCAATCAATGCAGTTTGAAATACAGTTGCAGGGTTTGTCAAAAGTGTCACCATACTTTGTTATATACGCTAAAAGTTTAGGCACCGTGATCGGACTGCTCGAATGAAAATGAGCCCCGAAGTGGTCGACCTTCGGTAATCCAGGACGAGAAATTGAGGATCCTGGTGGAAACAAATCCATCACAAACGGTGCATGGGAGTCCTCCCAAGCGGTTTTTGATGTTTTAAAACGTATCAGAAAGGTCAAATAGCTCTAAAAAGTAGGTGCCCCACAATTTGGACTATCAACAGAAATTGTCACGTTTGCTTTTGCGCAACCAAAACGATTATTTTTTGTTTCGGATCGTCATGTGTGATGAAAAATGGATCCTCTACGAAAAGAGGAGCCACCCAGGACTTCCCAAGATGAAGGAAATTGACGAAATATACAGAAAATCTGGTCAACAGAAGAGGTCCGATCCTCCTCCATGATAACGCCCGTCCGCACGATTCACCAATAACCGTCCGAAAATTAAACGATTTGAGCGTCAAAGTTCTGTCTAACCTACCATTCTCCCCAGACCCCTCGCTAATCGACTACCATCTTTTCAAGCACTTCGATGATTTTCTCACTGATAGAACCTTAGCCAATCAGGACCAGGCAACTTCACTGAATCCCGACCACACACTTTTTAAACTGACGAAATTAATCGACTTATTGGTAGTTATCTCCTATTTTCTTATGCAGACGAATAAATTATGCTTTTTTTAAATATGTTTGGGAAGCAGACTTGTATAAGTGATTGATTCATTAGGTAAGTCAGGTGTCAGGATGATTTCCATATTTTTAATTGTTATGATTGAAAAGCCATCATATCCAGTAGAAGTTTTGTTGACCATCCCATCAAGACTGTTACTTCATGCTGTGTGATTGGATGAGATTGAAATGGATACATATTAGTGAATCCTTCAGTAAGAGTACATGGAAGAGACATATTTTGACCAAAATGTCTACTCATAGCAATTTGTGCTGAATTAGCAAAGTCTCAATAAAATATTGTGATACTTTCTCAGAAACAGAGATAAAGTTCTTCTGTAGAAGTGTGGTCTCAAATAGTTTATCATTTTTATTTCATTCTACTTCATGGTTTATAATTTTCCAGGTTTCTCTAGTTTTTTTTTTACCGCATTATCAATTTTATAACTGTAGTGATTCGCTTTCGCCTTTCTGACATTTTGTTTGTGTTCCTCAATTTTTCATTTATATTGCTCGTTTGAATTGGAGCAAGTTTCATGCTTATGAATAAGTTTTACTGGTCAAGCCACGTCAAAACACTATAATAACGTTGAGAGGGGTATATTTTTAGGAGATAATAATTTTTGGGAAAGGTTATCGCTTTCTACTTCTTCATCTTTAAACAAGATTTTAACGTACTCTGCATACGAACTGGAATATCATATTGAACATTCTTAACTTGAATACTCTGGCTTGTAGAAGATTAAAATCAGATCTTACACTAATTCACAAAATAATCAATGGTAGCATTGACTCCCCGGAACATGTTAAACTTATAACTTTAAACGTGAATCCAAAGAGAACAAAAAATACGGAAATATTCAAAGTACCCTTTCATCATACCAACAGAACGAAATCATTTGCATCACTTCAGTGACTTACTAGGCATATACATTGATTGATGACTTCAAGTTGGACTAGTCCGATAGATAACCTTTGCCATAAACTATCCTCGGTATCATACGTCATGAGAGTTCTAAAAATGTTGATCCTGAAGCACTGGGCTCCAGTCAAGGGATCAATAGCGTTTTCCTATGTAAAAGAAATTGTCAAAATAGTCTTCAATATAAATGCAAGAGATTCCTGCAGAGGAACCTTTAAGATTGGTCGGTCGATAGCCAGGCGGTTCGACGTGGGTGCTTTGTTCACTTACTCGAATTGACTGCCCTGTTGGTCGGTGGTTCAAGCCCTAGTCTGAACGATCAATTTTCACTTGCTATCGTCCAACCCGTATTAGGAATCACACGTTAAAAGGTAAGATCTCGTTAATCCTTAACTCGCACATGTTTCAACTTGAGGATTGTCGTTCATAGGGTTGCGACAACTGGTTAACGTAAAAACATATTTTAAACAGAATTGCATGATCTACACATCTTTGTATATAGGTACTTTTTTAAATTGATTGATTTCTTTCTTTCTTTGGAAGATTAACACATTTTTTTTGTATAAATACGGAAAAGTAGAAAGCCAAACCCTTTCTTTCCAACAATAATAATGATTTTGAAAAATATTTAAAAGCATCGTTTAAAGTTAAATGTTATATCACAGAACAGTTTTCACAATTCAGTTGTTCTTAGTTCATCAATCTTCTCATAATTGAGTATTTAGTACTTAATTTTTTTTTCTCCCATGATGGATACTGAGATGTGAGCTAAGTGATCAGCAATATTAGGTTGAATAATGGTACTTTTATAACTGGATTTAGAGATATTTGTTACCATGTGATCTTATGAAACCGCCTTGCACCAAATTCTTGAGCGGCGTACGCAGACTCTGTCTCAGGTGGGGGAACAAACCCCCCTTGAGCAGGTTAGCGAACGTTTGCGCTCAAATGATGATTCACCAAAACCAGAGGCGAAAAAGCTCTGTACAGTTGAATCTAAGGCATCGTCAGGTGTACCTGATGTGCAAAAACCCTCATAGGGGAAGGTTGTCGCGGGCATCAAGGTGGGAATCTTGCACCTTGATTATCCAACTACCTCATTAACGGCCAACCAGCTGGAATCTCTTCAGGGGGCTATTTTGTCGGCTGTGGAGGTTATTCCAGACGGTGGGCCGCAGATACAATTCCAGAGCTGCGTCTTTCGGCCTGGATGGTTACAGGTCGTCTGTGAGCCTGGGAGCCTAGGGTCTGCAACCGTGGGAGGGCGCTTCCCTGAAATGCGTCACAGGGGACCAACTTCCGAAGCCACACATCTGTGTTGCTTACCTACCTGATGGAGGCAGTCATAGACTGACCTGCGAACAGGTCCTCATTAGATTGAGGAAAATGAACCATGGTCTGTCAACCTTGGAGTGGACGGTCCTCCACAAGGAAAAGTCAGGCCCTGGTCAAACATGGACCTTCGCTGTAGACGATGGATCCATGGCCGTGCTGGCGAAGATGGGTTTCAGACCACATTTTGGTTTTGGTCAGGTCTTATTCCGCCCTAAAACCCGGGCACCCTCCCAGCAGGAAACTACTCAAACGAGTCACACTAGTGCACCCGTTAGAGTAAAAAAAGCGGGGCCGAGTGGAAATCCACCTATGGGGAGGAGTTCAACCAAACATAGGGGTAAACCACCGGCTCACCCAGCCCAAGACCGGGAAAACAGATGTTTCTCAGGAGACAAAGACGGTCAACGTCTCGTCGAGTAAACTGGGAAAAAAGGCTGGACGTGGCTCTCTGAAAGCGAAGACGAAAATCGTCTCGTCAAAGAGATCCAATAAATCAGCAGGCAACTCAGAGACAGCAGGTGTCCTCACCTCATCATCTGAGCCTACACATCCTTCGATCCCGGGAGAAGAGGGTGGAGGTGTCCTTAAGGACCCCCCCATCTTCTCCCTCCTAGGGTTGAGGAGTTCTAAGTTTGCGGCCACACTTGTTATCTTCAAGTGTTTACAGGCAAACTTACAACATGCCAAGGCCGCTTCATACGTCCTTGGAAAAAACTTCAAGGATGAATTAATCGACCTTGCCTTCCTGCAGGAACCATGGACAGGAAATACAGACCGAGTAACCGGACTGAGCAATATTCCTGGTGAGGTAAATTTCCCTATCGGGCAAGAAGGGTAAGATGAATTTTATCGCCTGCTCCGCCTACTTTCCGGGAGATTCAGATACTGTACCTCCTCTTTCTATTAGACTATAGCAAAAGGAACAAACTGCAAATAGTAATGGGATGTGACGCCAATTCACACCATACAGCGTGGGGCAGCACGAATATAAACCGTAGGGGTAAATTACTCTTTGATTATATACTAGGGGAGGGGCTGTCTGTAATTAATGAATGCTCGGATCCAACTTTTGTCACTAGTAATAGGCAAGAGGCATTAGATTTAACCATCAGCTCACATTCACTGAGCAACAAGAATACCATTGGTCTGTATCTACTGAACCTTCTTGTTCAGACCATAGATATATTTTTTTCAATATTGAAACAGGTCTAAGACCAGTAGTGGAATATTGTATTGTAAAGAGAGTGTATGTATATCTCTCGACATTTACGCTCCACAATAACAGCACTATTTACCCAGTCTATATAAATCTAAATAAGTTAAAATTAGTATCAAAGTGAAGTTAGTGAAGTGCTTTGTGTAACTGTGCTACATATAAATTCAAAAAATTACGTGAATAGTAAATATAACGCTCAGATGATTATAAATTTCCAGTGACANGAGTTTTTGTTCGATTCTATTTCATTATTTAGATGCCCTTCCCTAATCAAGATAAGAGTCACCACCACAGGAATCTATCTATGCAAGAGGTTATTTTTAAAATCTTCAAAATTTAGATCCTTTTTTGTTATCCAGTGCTCAGTGAATTATAGATTAACTCATTTATCTATACTATAAAATACAATAGAAAATATCATACTGCAGTATAAACTTCATAATACTAGAATGAGTTTATAACCTATTCAGAGTGTGCTCATTGTACTATGCATATGTTTTTGAAAGCAACCAATGTGAATTAACGCACCAGTCTTGAGTAACAAGTCATAATAAATTAGATGTTTGTTCCATAAAATATTTTGGAAATTTTGGGATGTATTAAGTTTGTGCAAATAAATCTAGATAAAAAATCTGTAAACTTACCCAACTGACAACTCTTCCATTGAAGCATGGTAAAAGGGCTAAATCATCAATGATCTCTTCTTTCACAACTCTAAAATTTATAAAAAAAAGGCATTCAATTTTTTTCTTCAAAATCATACATTTTTATGAGTGGTAACTAGTACTAAAGGTACATACAATGCCATTTGTATGAATGTCAATATTTCAGTTCTCTAAAAGCTAAAAGATTTTGATTGAACTTTAAAATAGCAGTGATAATAATCAAGCTAAACGAATATTTAATGTATTCTCGACATAAGTAATCTCAATTCCAATGAATTTGAAGCTTTTGAAAACATATGTGAAGTTAAAATAATAACAAGTGAATAAAAATAACTAATAATTCTCGTAGAGAATACATTTCTCAATATGATATAATTATCAATATCCCTGAGGTAAAAGACCAAAACAATTTTTAGAAATATAGAATTAAAATTGGGGATAAAGGAATGTTTATCTAGTGAATAATGGCTTCCACTGAATATCAATAAATCACTTTCTAGTACATTGTTACTGAAATAAACGATATCGTGCAAAACTTCAACTTTAATCGAAATCTAATTTCTAATTCGACTGCTATTGATAAAATTGAATCAAATGTAAATACCCAAAATCATCGTCCATTGATTTGAAGAAAAACTTGTAGTTGGGCCTATTCAGAACATTTTTAAAATCGGATAGTGTTACTTTCTCTGGTGATATAGGAATTTTAACTAAATACGGGGTTTCCTCATCGTCTATATGATAAATAACTTTAGTTTCTTCCATTTTCATTCACTAATTCGTACAGAAATCCATTAATTTGACAGTAGCAAAACACTTCTGCACAACATGGCGGAGATAATTATGATTTTATCTTTTATCTCTTTGCATTTGCATCCATATACCCACCCACCAACCAATCAAAGCACAGAATTAATACCTGCCATAAGATGTTCTGTGTTAGGATTCAAGACAAAACCCATCTACGGTCACACATTTGACAGGTAAATACGTTTTGCATCCCATTTAAATGTTCCTATCATTTGACGCATTTTTTATAAAAAACGAAACTCTTCTTTGAGACTGTTCCTACATATTTCATTTGATCTTCCGGTGATTTAACAAGTGTCAGAATATCTGAAATACTAAAAGGTTGCTGAACAAAATGTTTTAAATTCTTGAAGAGTGTAATAGATTTTTTGGACCCGTGGGTTGGGCTATCTATTGGGCGCGTCCCTAGGTCCCTAAGGGAACGGCCAGGGGACTGGGGGCCCTGTCCGGGAAGTCAATGTGGCCTTACGGACGAGATCGCCGGACTCCTGGTCAGTGGCAGAAATAAGTAGGATGAGGGGAACTGAAACTACCCAAAAACCACAGCGAAACATGCAACCGTGGACCAACCTACCTAAGCTAAGGTGTAAGGAATCGTGCTGAATGGCCGCAGGGTGATATGCGGTTACGAACGATCCCCTTGGGAAACCGGGCGAAACCTCATCAGCTTTCCTCTGGTAATGCGGGGCTCTGCCAGAGGTGACCAACTCTTCCCTTGATACTCGTGGGAACACACATGAATACAACAAAAAAAACAAAAACCAATCCCGAGGCTGGACAGATATGCTCACCTCAATCTATGGCAGTGTCTGGGGATGAACAGAAATGTCCACCCCAATCTACCGCTCAGAATGAGTCTGGACATAGCAGATCACCTCGTGACGCAACACAAAGGCCAAGGCGTAAGCGCATTTACGGCGCCGAGGCCAAAACGAGTAAAGAGCGAAATAGGCAGGAATGACAGCAACTATAAGTGCACCCTCCTCCTCTTCCACTCCACCTCCAACAGCAAGGCACTTCCTGCGGCGAGCGCCAAGAGCTCCGCCTTGAAGAAAGGCTGCCCCTGCAGGAAAGCTCCCTCACTTGAGCACCTCCACGGAGGAATTCCAATAACGTTGAAGGAGCCGCGCAACGACAGTAATGTCGAATGCACCTTCCAAAACTTTCGTGGAGGCCGCCGTGAGACACCTCAAGGTTGCCATCATAGATAAGACTAACGACCCGTACGGTAAGGTTATCGCAGAACAAGAGAGTCTCATCAAAAAACAATTGCTGGAGAACCTGGACAAGATTGTCTTCTTCGTCTCCAGCAGCAACAGCAAACCTCCCACGTTCAAGTCGTGGACATACTCCGAAGAAATCATCAGAGTGGTCTGCGATGACGACGTAGCGCTAGAGAGGCTGAAGAAAGCGACAATGATTATTAAGCCGCGGGAAGAAGCAAAACTTGCGGTCGTCAGTGTGTGTACCAAAGCTTCGCTTTGGTAAGCTTGTGGACGTCCGGAGGACGTCCACAAGACGACATCCGGTGAAAAGGAGATGGTGCTGGGTCGGCTGAAGGCGCAAAACCCTGAGCTGATGGTAGCAAGATGGTGCACTTAGGTCTTTAGAAATCTAGCCACCTAAAGTGGAAATTGACCTCAAGGCCACCATGGGTCCCGAAAAGGAAGTAGAAGAATCTGAAAAGATGACAGTCGATGACCTGACGGAGGCCACCCAAAAACAGCGAGGCCGCCTCCCCCTAGTGGGGAGCAGATGGACCTCTAAAAGTAACTTTAAATCCAACAACTGTCTCATCATGGGCAAGTACGTTGGAGAAAAAATAATACAATGCAATCTCCAACACAAAAAGACGGCAACACTATGTCGACACCTTGATGTATTGGGGTTGGCAATAGCTATGATCCAGATGCCCTGGATAATAAAGACCAAAATTACTGGTTTCAGTAGCCTAACTGGTCAAATTTTCAGCTTACCAAGCAATCAGCAACTTAGGACTGCTGTTTACGTTCCTAGGAATCACAGAGCTTTTCCGATGGCACAATTCAGCACCTCCGACCTCACTGCGGTTAAAGTGGAATGTCCAGATGGAAAAGGCAAATATATGGCGTTGATACTCGCATCAGTGTACCTTCCTTTAGATGCAGCCACCCTTCCACCGACCAGAAAAATAGAGGTACTAGTGGATCACTGCCTCAACCAGAGAGTGGAGCTTATATTAGATTGCAACTCAAACTCTCACCACTTGAGCTGGGGTAGCAAGGATATCAATATGAATATATAATTAAGAAAGATTTAACAATCTTAAACAAAGGCATGGAGCCGACATTTATTAACGCCCGTAGTCAAACATTAATAGATATCACGCTAACGACAGCCAAAATATCAAACAAAATCCAGGACTGGCAAGTCTCGGACCATATTTCTATGTCAGACCACCGCTGGTAAGCGGTAAGCCAGAATCTCAGGACTCTTAAAAGGAGCTCAGAGCCTCTCTAGCTCTGAGGTAAATTCCCAGTATCATCACCAGAGATCATTGGACAGCAAAGAATACACCCTGGGTATATTTATAGATATCGAGGGAGCGTTTGATAAAACAACCTTTCCAACAATTACCCAGCAACTACACTTCAGGAATGTACCCCTGGCAGTAGGAGAATGGATACTCAAGATGCTCTCCAGTAGAGCAATAAGTATCAATGTAGAAGACATCACAGTGAGAGGACTAGTCATGATGGGATGTCCACAGGGAAGGTTCTCATCATCCATTCTCTGGAACATATAGTTCTGGATACCCTGATTAATCACCTCAGTTTTACACAATTGCATATGTAGATGACATAGTTATCTTGCAGACCGGCAAATTTGTGAACACATTGTGCGATAGAGCGCAGGATACGCTCAAATTAATAGAAACATGGTGAAAGGAACACTCACTGTCGATCAATTCCAAAAAGACTGAGACGGTCCTTTTCCCCAGGAAAAAAAGTTTATCGGGCTTAAAACCTCCCGAAATCTTCAAAAGCAAACTAAACTTCTCTGAAGAGGTGAAATACCTTGGTACTATCCTCGAAGGGAAGCTAACATGGACCTCTCACCCACAGAGTAGAGCAAAAAGAGCATATGTGGCTTATGAGCAATGTCGGAGGACAGTGGGACGCGCATGGGGTATTTCACCCCGTGTGATCACCTGGATCTACACTGCAATAATAAGACCTATGTTAATGTACGGAGCAATTGCATGGGCACCGAAAGTTTTACAAGCAACGACCATCCAAAAATTATATCAAATACAGCGACTGGCTTGTTTAAACATCACAGGAGTCATGAGAACAACATCAACCGCGGAAATGGAATTAATTACTGGTCTGACCCCTCTGGACCTGTACGTTAAGGAAGTTGCGTTAATGACCATGTTACGATTGCGCACGGCTGGTGTAAACCTTGAAGTAGGAATGGGTCAATTGAGGCTGAGCCTATGGCGAGAAGCGCTTACTGCGCAACCTCTGCTGTAGGCAAACAGTGATGCAATTGGACCCAGGTTTGTGTTTAATAAACCCTACAAAATACAAATAAAACAGAACACTTAGTTAGATGCTATACGCATATATACAGACGGCTCAAAAACCATAGAAGGCTCAGGATGTGGGGTGTACTCCAGATCATTAAGCCTAAGGATTAAGTGGGGAATAGGAAGAAATACCAGCGTGATCCAAACAGAACAATCTGCACTGATAGCAGACAAGCCCTATTAGCCCCGAACAGTCAACGTGTCACTCTAGTACTAGCCCTGAGGCTAGTACTAAAATTTATCCAAAGCCTCGGTAGATAATAACATTATCCTGAGGTGAGCTGAAGGGCAAGAAAGGAGTAAAGGTAATCGCATTGCCGACTCTTCAGCCAAGGAAGCGGCTGGACTAAGAATTTTAGGACCCCGTGGCATCTACGGCCTGATGACTTCAACAATTGCGGAACTAGCCAAACATCACACCCACACTCAACCCCTAAACAGATGGGATGAAATCAAATGATGCAATCTTGCCAGGATTACTCTGGGCGACACTGGGAAGCTGGCGCCGAAGAAATATCTGGCGATGACCTGGAAAAATCTACGCTGAATAGTAGGATTTCTGACTGGCCACTGTCAACTTAGGAAAAACCTCCACAAAATGGGGCTGGGGGACACACATCTATGCAGGATGTGTGAACAGGAAGATGAAACTGTCAGTTATGTCCTATGCGAATGTCCGGAGTTATCGTCAATAAGAGAGTGTGTGTTCAGCGAGTCTTGGCATACACCTGCCGATATAAAGGAGATGTCTCCCAGAGATCTGTCCACTTTCCTGGAAGGGACAGGATGGATGATGACCTAGGAGGACAACTCCTTCTCCTTGGGAGGCTGTACAATGGGTTACATGTGGCCTAAGTGATGTGGGCCTACACTCACCCTCCCTACTCTACAGATACGAATAGATTTTTTGGATACTGGTTCCTTTATACTTGTCCACGGTATCCAAAAAATCTCCAATGTCATATTTATTAGCGTTGAAAATAATAACTAACGCATTAGTAAGTGTGTGTCAGAACAATAACACTCACAATAGTATGCGTATAATGATGGCCATTATTTACTAGGTGAAGTTACGGCCACGAGCCGCAGGCGAATGGCCTAAATCATTGATTAATAAAAATTTTTGTTGTAGATTTTTTGTTGGAAAATTTTGTTACATTCTATATTTATTTTTGAAAATACTATCATCTTATTTTAACAAATATTCCATACAATACATTATTGTTTATGTATACACAGTAGATAGTTATCGAAAATTATAATAATCGTATAATATCTCATAATAATTAACATAAAAATCTATGTATTCAGCTTATCAAATATCACGTATGTAATCTTACAAAAGTATATTTATATTACAAGATATATCCATTTTTAATTCGTTTTTAATACAATTCAACACATTTTGAAATGTTTATTAATTGTGTTTGAAACATGAAGCTATTTATTTTGAATTTATCCCCTTTTGACGTATTTCTCAGACAAAAATATTCTGCCACTCCTATGAAAGATTATAAAATACTCTGTTGAAGTAAATGTATCTATCTATATAACACAAAATATCACAACACTGAGCAATCTACACACACACAAACAATAATGTTGACAGGTTTGAGTCAAATTTGTTTCGGTTCAAAACCTATTTCGATGTATAAAATGTTTCGAAAAACATGGTATATTAAGAAACGGATGATATGACACGCACATTCGAAGTCGTTGATGGCTCAGTGGAGATGCTTCTTGCCTTCCAACCATTGAATATATTTGGTGGTTAACACGATAAAATTTTAAAAATCGATTGTTTGTAGGAAAACAATATAATATTATAACTAAATCAAGAAAGCATCTGACAGCAGTGATCAATGACTCATTAATCACTGTCCATTGTGTGCTCAAATCCAAGCCACAATGGATACTGTTTAGCCTTGGGACTTATTAATAATCAATGCAAATACCAATCTAATTGTAAATTGCACACGTTTAAAATGAATTGGCACATTTGCAGAGCCTAAATGCAGAACTTTCATCCTCACCTGGCCCATTTCACTCATTTGTGTTGACATTTATATTGGCAATACTGCTTAGGTAAGTGCTCAGTTTGTTGGTAATTCCTCAATTACCTGTCTGCCTGTATTTTTAATAAAGTATTCTGAATTTGCATCAGTTATAATAGATACCAGTGATAGATAGGTTTTCCCTGGTTACAGTGTTCTGTAATACTGTGACCTGGTTAAGTTCATTTGTCATTTGTTGAATCGGGTTTGACGTGCAAGTGACGCTAAAAATAACTTTGATTTTAGGTTTTTTGAATGTCAAATGTCAACAAGTAGGTCAATATTTTGTTTTCAATACGTGTGTTCTTAATATTCATATGTTTAGAGTTTAATTAAGGATTAGTCAAATATTTAATCATGCAAGTGACTAATTAGGTAAAACTACTATTTATGCTAATTCGAAATTGTTTTTAGGCCCTATTAATATTTCGAAATTAACCTTATATGGTTTAAATAAGTGAAATATGGCTGATAAATTAGGTTTAGGAAATGAAGTAAGGGAACTCAAAATAGGACAGAGCTTTACCAATCCAAAAACGAAAGCTTTCCACACTCTTAAATGTAAGTCAAATGAAAGTCTTGAGTTTTGTTTAATTGAGAGTTTCTTGTAGATGATTTCAAACCTGCCTCTGTGGATACCAGTAAAAAAGCTAATGTAGAAGTTCCAGGAGTGAATCAGGTTACTGTAACAGTGCCACATTTAGGTAAATGAAAAAACTTCTACAAAATATCAAAGATTCTTTAAACATAATTTTTTCCAGATGGTGCTGATATTCCACATACAGTGTTCAAAGGATCCCAGAAGCCTTACACTAAGGAATGTGTCCTTATAATAAATAGGGCGACTGGTGAAATCACTATAGAAAAATTGAATTGCAATATTCAAGTCAAGAAAACTAGGAGTGAATATAGTAAACCACAAGCATCAAAGGGTGAGTTAAGGTTTCAGTTCACTCCCTTGATACCACAAATGTTTTTATATCATATATTAGGAATAAATGAGAAACACAGGTAAACATTTCACAAAAGGCTACTGATTAACTACAAATAAAACACATACCTTTTCCTCTAATCCTAGACCTTCAACAAAATTTCTGAATGAATGGACAAACTCTCTACCATCAGTTGATAAATTAGAAACATTGGTATTTCTATTTTCAATATGTTTCCTCACAAAACAGCATTTCAACTGTACATATTTCATTCTTTTAGATTATAGATGTTGACAACACATTTGAGACTCTGATTGTCATTATACAAATCGTCTGTTTCTTCATTAAAAAGACTTTCTCACCTCTAAATAATTCTTCAAGCAAATTTTATATATAGATTGCACCTTCAGTTGCCTCAGTTCAGCCTGTGTTGATCTTTGAGCTACCCTTTTTTGTTTACATCATTTCCATAAGACAGGACCACCTGCCAATTTGAATACAAATCCTGTGTATGACTTGATATCTGATGAATCATTTGCCCAGTCACTAATCTACAAAATTCTGAAACTTAATCTTTTACATTTAGTTTCCTTTAAGCATCCAATACTTGTTTGGCTGAAAGCCAGTGCTCATTGGTATGGTTGCAAAAGTTGCAAAAGCTATATCTGGTTGTGTACATACAACCAACCAAATGACAGCCTATCAAATACTGATATGGTTTATCAATTCAAAGTTCAACCTAGATCTACTGAAAATTCAAATGTAATAATTCCATAATAATCATGCAACTTTTTTGCATGATCTACACATCCATGTATAGAGTTACTTATTTTCAAATTGATTACTTCCTTCCTTTTTCTTGGAAAATTCCCTCATCTTTTTTTTGTATCAAGATGGAGTAGTAGGAAGCCAAAAGCTTTCTTTCCCAAAAAATAATAATTCCCATTTACAAAAAAACTCATACACAATGAACAATCTTCACTTCAATAATCAGTTAATTAAAATAGTTGTGTCTCTGTTTTTTCCCAACACCAAATCGTTATTTTTAACACCTCGACACGTGTTTCGATCACCAAGTGATCATCTTCAAAGAGGAAGATTAAAACTTGTCCAAAATGTATTCTGTAATTTCTTCTGGATACCCTGGTACTGTGTTGCTAGCAATTCTTCATTTGGAATTTTTAATTCAGGTAGTTTTACCTTCCTTTTTAACTTTTCAAAGATGGGAAGTGCAGTTGTACCAATAGAAGTGTCAGGCAATTTCATATGTACTATTTTTTACAAACTTTCAAAAAATACTATATGTAATAATTCTTTCTCACACCAAAACGTTTTCTGGGCCCATAACCTGTTAAACTAACCAGTGTAGGATGGATAGAACACAATATTTTTACTCTAATCAAATTTCTAATTCAGCTGTTCCTCACAACAAGAAAATCAATGCAACAACAACTTTATTACCGACTAGGGTTAAAACACTTATTCACTTTTTCTATAAGTGAAAACCAATTTGAGGTATTATGACTTTGTTTGGCACTTTCAATTCATAAGTATTGTATTTGTATTTATGAAATTTGTTATTTTTCAGCTGATAGGTTGAACCCAAACAACAGATCTGGTAACACTTCTACAAAAGGTCTTCCGTTGAGGTCTCAAACCCCCCCTGCTATTGTAGGACACCGTGTGTCTAACAAAACGAAGGTTACGAGTGGCAGTCGAAGAGCTGACAGACAAATAACTCAGCTGGTGCCAAAACATTCACCGTTACATGCGAGTCCAAGTTACTCATCTCCAGGTCATCCTGTCAAGAGCCCCAAGAGGGATCTACATAGTAATGTTAATGAGTAAGTTATTTTACATTATCTAGTGTCTATTTGTCTCAGGAATATTGTAGATTTGAACTGCCATTGCCTAACAGATTAACAGATTTGAAACCTAAAATTAAATTATGATTTTTCATTCATTTCCAAAAAATATTCAACCCTCATTGGGTTATTGAAGTAATAATTTTTTTGTTAGATGATAATTTTACAATTATAGATACTAGGTACACCTGGCAGTGCCAAGTGCTAAAATTCCTTTCTTATTAGTCAGTGGGCTATGCTTGAAAACTGGCAGTAAAAAAATCTAAAGAAATGAACTTTAAACGTTCAAGCCAGTTTTGGCTATACCTATACAGTAGGTTGAATGGATTGATACCTATCAGAAAACAACTACTTCTCTGGCTAATACCACGAAGGGCGCTGGATTATATCCGACAGGTGTCAGGGCAGGAATCTTCACAGAAAATTTCTTGCATATGCAATTGGCAATACAACTGAAAGAGTCAACCTTCAATTTTGCAACGGGCACACTTGCAGATCGGTTTCGGGCTCATTAGCCACTCGTCAGTGCAAGAAAGTGCAGTTGGTTAGTACCTCATCCACTAGATGGAGTGACATTTTGTTGTTCGCTCCAACTTAGAAAAAGGAATGAAATACTGTGAAAGAATTCAGATTTTCAATTATGGAATATCATTAACTTTAGGTCGATGATGGTCACTATCTTGCACTGATGAGTGGCTAATGAGCTCGAAACCAATCTGCAAGTGTGCCCTTTGCAAAATTGAAGGTCGACTCTTTCAGTTGTATTGCCAATTGCATATGCAAGAAATTTTCTGTGAAGATTCCTGCCCTGACACCTGTCGGATATAATCCAACGCCCTTCGTGGTATTAGTCAGAGCAGTAGTTGTTTTCTGAGCAACCTGTCTGCAAGTGTGCCCGTTCCAAAATTGAAGGTCGACTCTTTCAGTTGTATTGCCAATTGCATATGCAGGAAATTTTTTGTGAAGATTCCTGCACTGATGCCTGTCGGATATAATCCAACGCCGTTCGTTGTATTAGCCAGTGGAGTAGTTGTTTTCTGATAGGTGTCAGTCCATTCAACCTATTGTGTAGGTATATCCGAGACTGGCTTGAAGGTTTAAAGTTCATTTCTTTAGATTTAAAATTCCTTTGTTAGAAAGATGAAAAATTTCCATGAAGGTGTATTTTGAGTCATAAAAGTCGGGGAGTATGTGAAAACTTGAATCCATTCATTTTTGTCCACTACATAATTGAATATTACTTGAGTTTTATCCCAACACCAAACCATTATTTTAACACCTCGAAACGTGTTTTGATCACCAGGTGATCATCTTCAAAAGGAAGATTGAACTAAATATACATACAATGTCATCCTTATTTATAGCATAGAATCCTCTACTAGGTACCTGTGTCTTAAGTGTCTTCAATTAATTTCACAATGTTGCCTTATTTACTAGTCTCAAATTAATTTTACAGTGTGTCCTAATGTAATAGTCAGCTATATAGCTATATACTGTTAAGTATTGGTCCCCCATGTCCACCTAATGTCCTTTATTCAACATTTTCATATTGCTTTTACTGACTTCCACTAGACTTATCTCAATGAATTGCAGAGATTAATGAACTGTCTATCAATCTTAAACAAAATTCCAATTTTTCAGATCGCATAACCAGAGTACTCTTGCCAGCCTTCCTATGATTGGAGTAGATGACTTCTCAGACCCGAGGCCTTCTTCTAGAAATGCTCCTATAGCAAACACCCAGAATTCTCGACCATCACAATATACAACACAACGCCCTCAAACCGAAAAATGGCCTGTACCAGCAGCAGTTCCACTGCAAAAAGTGAATAATGGTGTAGGTGAAATCACTGACTCTTCCTCATCAAGTAGCAATAGTGACTCAGATTCTGAAGAAGATACCACTATCACTAATAAAAATACAAACATGAAACCAAATGGTTGCAGCAATGGGAATCCTAGCCCAATGAAGATAGATACTCGGTTGCTCAATGATGATTTATGTCTGTCTGAAAGCGGTTCTGACTCAGACTGATGTGTTTTTGAAGGGTGAGTCAATGATATGCATCTTTACTTTTATTAAATCATTTTTGGTCTTGAGGGCTAATGATATTTTTAAGTTTGAAACATCATTTCACTCTAACAATATGAGTACCAAGTAATTTAAACCCTTATCAGTAAACAAACCCTCTGTACTACGTGCAGGGTGTTACTGATAGATCAAATGGTCTTCTACTGGCAGCAACAAGTTTTTCACGATTCACACAGTGTGAATATAACTACTTAATGCTAAGCAGTTACCTTCTCCTGACAAGAAATTAATTAATACTTACTTTAAAAGGCATGATAATTCCTTGGATTAGATAACTACTAAGAGGAACTGGGAACTTCCAATAATTTAACATATAAAGCATTTATTACCTGAGGGAATCAGTTACTAATTCAAGAGGAGAATGTAATTGTGTACAAATGTGATGATGTCATGAATCCCAACATTTTGTATGATTTGCCTACTATAGTATTTATATGTGGAATATAATTTAACTGGCTATCGAAAATGACACCCAGATCCTTGAAGTTGTCTACTTGTTTCAAAATTAAACCATTTAATTCGTAGGTGAAATGAAGAGGGTGTTTAGATTCAGAGAAATAAATAATAAATCATGTATCCAGGTTTAATACGAGATCATTCATAACAGACTATTCATATAAGTTTATTTTATCTTCAAAGGTGGTTGACAGTGTTTCATTATTTCGGACTTCCATTGTCTAATATGATATGATTTGAAATCTCTGAAATTTTTATTTTATTGTAATTTAATTTCAGTTTTTTTTTTGCTCAATATAATTGTTATTTTCAGCTATTCATTTTAATTTTCAATTTTATTTGTTCTTTCAGGAAATTCAAATCATATTATATTATATTAGACAATGGAAGTCCGAAATAATGAAATTTATTTTATCTTGTTGAAGTTCATAACACTCTTTCGGAGATGTTACATGCATGTTTATTTTGACATCTGTAAACAATAAATTTTGGCTAGAGGTAGAATGAGATGCAAGGTCACTTATATATAAATTATATAGAAGTGGGTCCAAACGAGATCACTGTGGGACTCCTGATGTTACTTTAATTGCACTAGAAATATGATTATTAATTTTCACATGCTGAGTACGATTTGAAAGTTAACTGCATAACCAATATAATCAATTTGGGAAATCAAGCAAATCTAGTTTGTAAAAGATGAGAAAATGGTTCACCTTTTTGAAAGCCTTTGAGTATTCCGCATAGATCGAGTCAATCTGGACTCCCATCTCCAAGGTATTCACAATTTCATTTTGATAGGACAGTAAAATGGGTACTTCGGGTTCCAGGTCACTTCGATCATGGCTAACCAGCCTAGATTTTGTTCTCTTTAATTTACTTGTGATGCACTGTTTGGAACCTTTGGTGTAGTAATGAATATTACTGGAGAATATTACACCTCGACACAGATTCTCTCTAATTTACTTTATCAGCACTAGTAAACAAATTGAAAAACCCACATTGTTAACTGAATATCTTTATCTAATTGAAGTTATTAATAAATCAAATATGTTTTTCAGATGCTGTACAACCTCTCCTGTGTATTTTTGTGAATATGACAATGTGGCAAAGTTTATATGGTATTGATATCTAATGTTTATAAGAAAACTATATGTATTATATTTACAGTAATAAAATACTGCAACTTATTGTTTTTGTCATTTATCAAAGAGAAAATTTATTTAGTCTTTTTTATCATCTTTTGAAATTAAAACTGATTGATTTCATATTTGGCAACTGTTTTTCTTTTTCTTTTCATAATCCATTCAGTTTTCTCTTTTCTTAATGAATATTTACAGGATACTTGTATACTCTGTAAAGTTTGTCCAAGTGATAAGGTACACTGAAGGGTATGAATAAAAATATGGAAATGTTCTGAAGGTTGGTGTTTTTTAAATGAACATTACTGAAATGTGGCATCATGATGTTCGTAAAATTCTTAACTGCATAGGCAAAATCACTCTTGGAGGTTTTTATGATTTCAAGAAAGGAGTAACTCGACAAGTATGTCTATAAATGCTTCTTTCAACTTTTGGTAATAAAGATGATATAAGGGCATCGAAAGGTTTTTCTATGATGGTGTTGTTATAGTAACAGTAGAATCAATGCATGAAAAACTCATCTGGAATCTAGGGATTTATTATTGTCAAGAGAAATCGTCAAAAAATCAGAGCTCGTTCTGAATGAAGGGTACGTCAGGACGCAAAGGTTGTTGAATATACTGCGTTGCTGAGCGTTATTCGGGGTCTTTCATGGCTGGGGGCACTTCTGTCAACCCATGTTTATTTTTATGATATAAGCGAATGATTGGAACTTTATAGCTTTAGCAATATTGTGAAGTTCTTTATATGTTGTGGGACTGTTGGAAATTTATGTGAAGTTCATTAGTTGTAACTGCTCGCTGTATGTGCACGCTACTACTCTGAAAAAATGGCTCAACCGATTTAAGTGTGGTTTTCACTTATGTATTGCATTAGGCTTCACTTAACATCCAGTATTTCATTTATTCAAATCGGTTCATGGCAGTTCAAGGATTCACAGCGAAGTCAACGCAATGGAAAACAGAAATAAATACTTATTTCACAAATAATACTTCAGAATGTTCAGTTGATCATTGAAGGGAATATATTTTTAGGAGAGATTAGTTTTTCAGAAAGAAAATTTTCAAGTTACCTACCTAAACCATGCCCCATAGACGATACATTTCCCGTTTGAATTACATGAGATTTTGCTACTTTTTACACTGAATTTTTTTTCTCCTCAAACAAGATGACTCACAGCAATAAAACACATGTTTTTATTAAGAAATTGAACGCTCTCCTCCACGAAAATGCTAGTCACCAACGAACCAAATGTACCATTGTTAAAAAATGTTCAGTCAGCAGAATTCTATTGATAAAGAATATTGTTCTGCAGTATAAAGAAATAAATTGAGAAGTGTGGAATGATATCGAGAGAAAATCCAATTTCATAAACCGGGGGAATTCCATCACGCTCCATGGATGTCCATTGCAATTCATTGTTTAAAAATTTATATTTTCCTCAACATTTTTAAGCTAAGTGAAAACAATCATTTTGAGAACATTTGTCTGCTGTCTATGTATTTGTGTGTTCTAATTTCTAAAATGGTAGCGGTTTTCACTGTTATATTGTACTTTGTAAGTTTCATTGATTCATTTCTAGCGGTTCATAAACAAAAAACATGCCAATTTGAAGAATCGAGTAAAAAATTTGTTGACACTAATTTCTATAAAATTAAAAGTTATCAAGTTGTCAAAGAAATGTCAATTAGAAAGAACACCAAAAAGAACGTCATATATTTGTTTAGAAAGTGTTATTAATAAGTAAATCAGATCAAATACCAAACTTCGCAACAGTTTTGGCTACAAGGTGAATTGGAAATATTTCAAAATGGACGCACAACAGAATTTATGAAATTTCAAAATGGACGCACAACAGAATTTATGAAATTTCAAACTGCAATATCTACTCTCTTCTCTCAATTACAAAGTTCATAGAGTCAGACAAACTGTGAATCATCAAGCAAGGGAGAAATTGTGATGAATATCATACTTCTAGCTAACTTCGAAAATTTTGACAAGAAAGAATCAATTTTAAATTACAAAAGCAGGTTCCAGAATTTCTATCAAAATGAACAACATTTCCAGAATTTGTAAGTACACTTAAGGGTAATATAAGTGATTGTGAATTCACATGCGAGTGCAAGAAATCAGTTGCAGAAATCTTCCTGACAGCTCAATTCATTCGTGGATTATACGTTAATAGTATTCGTAAACAATTACTTCAGCCTAATATCAAACCATTCAAAGTAATTCCTCTCGAATCTTCAAAAATTGATCCTCAAAAAATTGACTAGAAAACAATTTCAACATCATCTTCAACAGTTGATATCAACAGTTCACACCAATCTGTTCATAAATGCACAGAAATCCTGAACGTTCATTTATCCCTCCAAGAACTAGAAAATAAAGGTACAAATAGGTGACTCAGTCGCAAATATAACCTTGAATTAGTAGGACACTGAACAAGCCTCACTCAAATGTACCTTATGCAACAGGACTGGTCACGTTTCTGAAGTCTGTATCACGTCATTAGTTACAAAAAATAAAATCTGAATCGACTAATCAAATTCAAAGCGATGATTCACGTGAAATTTGAAACTGGACGCATTTGAAACTACAGGAATCATAACGAAAATAACAATATCCAACTGGAGATTACCATTAGTCGTAATACCAAAAGCAGATGAAGGTGTAAGTTTTGCTGTGGATTACAAAGTCGGCGTTAACAAGCGACTTATGAATTCACATCATCCAAGTAGGAAAATCGAAGACATTTCAAATGACATTGATCACGTGGTAAGAAGTTGCCCATGCTGTGCATCTGCTCAGCCTTCAAGAGCATCATTGCATAGACTATGCAGGGCCGTTTCAAAATCATAATTTTCTTGTTGTTATCGACATGAAATCCTCAAGCGTAAACTTTACACTTGAGGAAGCTATTGTATATGAAAACACGTGTCGCGGTTTTTGTAAGACCCTTTATAGTGAAAATTATACAATAAACTGTAATAATTAGTTTTGAATATTTTCAGAAAAAGAAACTCACTTTTTTTCAAAATGAAATTTCTAGGATTTATGTGAAATTTCAAAATTGATGTTGATAGCACTTGTCATGAGCACTGATTGATATTAATTTTAAGTGGTTAAACAGGTCTAGTACATTTAATTGTTACAAAATTTTGTAAAAGCTGTCTAGCCTTCAACTTTTTTCATTGTTTTAATGCATTTATTATTTTATTTTCAATAAATGTTTAATGAAATACAACTTCCTGTAATTAATTATCTCGGTTTGTATAATAAGAATTATGACAATTAATCTTCAAGTTCATGACCAAGCAAATTAGGGTTGTTAAGCTTTATAGCATTTATTCAATAAATAAAAAATTAAAATACTGTATAAACATACTGTAAATAAAATATGTTTAACTATTAAATCCTACATATCATTATTATGTATTACAATAGTGTGTTTTCTTCATATGTTGTTTAACATATGATTTATCATTAAAATTCTTATTGCAAATATTGCAAAAAAATGGCTTCTCTCCTGTATGGGTGTATAAATGCCTTGTCAGTTTATTTTTGGCATAATAGGCCTTGGGACACATATGGCAAATATACTTCCTCTCCTTAGAAGGCAGTTTGATTTCTCCCACTCCTATTCCATGTATTTTGGCCATATGAATTTGCATCACACGTTTATCTTTATATTCCTTATCACAATGAGAACATTTGAAATCCCTCACATTCGAGTGTGTCCTCATATGACGCTGCAGCACGCATTTGTCAGTAAACTTTTTGTCACACAAATGACACTGAAACTTTTTATCGCCAGTGTGTCTACGCATATGACAATCATAGTTGGATTTTATAGGGAATGGTTTGTTGCATATCTGACAGAAATATTTCCAGAGTTGTGGATCTGTATGCACCACAAGTTTATGAGACCTAAAATAGAAAATAATTAATAAAATATGAATAAAAATTTATTCTTTCTTGAAAGTTTTATAGATTCATTACATACATCTATAAAATTACATTAGACTATATGGTCATGCGATAATTTATTTGATGGATTACTAAGAAGAATCCCCAAATAGATAACCATTACCTGGGATTTTATTTTCCAAATTGGGATAAGGTTCATATATAAAAAATCGTTTATTACATTTCTGTATTTGAATTATATATCCATTTCCAGATGATTCTTACATTTTCTAGGGAAATACATGATTCATAGCCTGACTGAAGCTTGAAACTGGTCTGTATTTATAATGTAGGTGATGAAAAAAAAAAAAATAATAAACATGAAAAAAAAAATGGAATCTACTTTCAGGTTCAATTCTTCTTTATTCAATAATCCAATCATTGTATTTGATACTTTATATGGCATACTATTCACTAAAACTATTGGGATTTGTGATAAACAGAATATCAGCATATATTATAATATAAACATCATAAAAGCTAGAGATATTTTTAGAACCAACCCTAATTTCTTTTTGAATAAATGATGGTCGATTTGTAGTTATTTAAACGTATGTAATATAAATCGAAATTAATTGATATGTCAAAAATAACAAGTTTTCATTTGTACAATAAAGAAAAAAACTCTGTTATCACAAAAACTTTTCCTAATGAAAAAACAAAATTAGTACATTGTATGACCTCTACGCTCCACATTAATCAATCATAGACAAAATGACATTGTCGATGAGATTCAGGTCGGAGGATTGTGCTGGCCTATGGTCGGAGGATTGTGCTGGCCATAGCAATACATCATTTCCTTTGTTGACGAGCCAGTCTGTCACTAGACGAGCGTCATGTAAATGAGCATTACCATGCATGAGGTGGAAGTTTTGACTAAGAGCACCAGATAACGGGCAACCGATATGGTGAAGAATGGGGTCGAGTTACTACTGAACTGTAAGGAAGTGATTTGGAAAAACGAGGTTAGTTCCATTTATTTTTCTAAATTCAAGTATAAGTTGGTACCCGTCATTGCATAACTTAGGTATCTCTGATGCTTTTGTGTATTTTCACAAAACTGTCTCATGGTGCTTTGAGGTGGCTTGTCCAAAAAAATGCACCACTGTTCGCAGTGTTGATACCGCAAACCATCCTTGGATAACGAATGAGATTGTACAGAAAGGCAAATATTAAAGGGAGTTGTTTGGGCAAGCCAAAAACAACTATAATGCAGCATGTATGAACCACAATTACACAAAAACAGGATAAAACGAAAAAAATAATTTACTACACAAACAGAGTAAAAAATGCAGCTAATAAAAGAAGAATAAGACCATGCCACCTGCATGGGCTTATTATGTCATTTAAGTAAACAGATTAGAATATATGAGTAGGGTCAAATCCAGATTTTAATTCAGAAAAATTCACTTCCATAAATGATCCTAAGTGTTGATATGAATTATTATCTTTGTTAATTATAATTTCAACTTTCAAGTTATAGATACAAGTATTTATGGGCGTTTTAACCCTAGATAATTGCATCACTTGAAGATGGAAACTTTCAAAATTAGTAATCATATTTATATCATTACTATAATTTGGTGAGTTGAAATTTGAGATTATATCTGCTGGTTCAAAAATCAAGCAGATGTACTTGAGAGGACTGTCAAAAAGCAACATGTGGGTGTCCTTCAATGATGATAACCGTATTAAATAATACTTCTATGGAAAAAAGGGCTACACTATGTTTCCTTGCAGTAAAAAATAATAAATGCATAACTCTAACAGAGTGCTCAAACTAAATTTTGTGATTTTGTTATGATTTGCCACAGGTGTTCTAGGCGGATTCATAATACTTTACCAGGTCTAGCCTATTTTTGTATTGCAAATAAAAGATTTTCTGAGCTTTCAGGTCGTTTAATTACCTGCAGTGGCGTGCGTTTGAGTATATAATCAATACCTGTTAAAACTAATAACAACGTTGATTAATGATATAATATTAATAAAAAGTCTTCAAAAGAAACTGGTATTACAATTTGAAATCTTAAAGCCGAGTATCAAAATTTACTGAAACATACTCTAAGCAAAATTGAAAGGAAAGTGTGGACAAATGATGGTTGTATTATAATTAAAAGATCAAAAAGAAATAATTTATCAAAAATGCACAATGCGAGTCCTACTTAAGTTTATGCATTGTCTTATCTCTATAACTGTGTTAGGAATCACACGTTAAAAGGTAAGACCTCGTTAGTCCTTAGCTCGCACAAGATTCTCAACTTGAATTATTTTTTGAGAATATTGGGAACTCCATAAATCCAGACGTCTGACGACGTGACAGAATGAAGAAATCTGCCAGACGTCTGACGATGTGACAGAATGAAGAAATCTGGCATATATAGATTAGAATGTAGTGAATGCTCTGCAGTATATACAGGCCAGACCGGTAGAAATTTCGAAGTAAGACTCCGTGAACACGTCGGTTTAGACAAAAAATCTTCTATGTACAAACATCTACAAGAAACAAACCACAAAATAAGTAAGGAAAACCTCAAAATCTTACATACATGTAGTAAAGGAAGGAAAATGAATTTGTTAGAAGCCATGGAAATCAATAAATCGATTAAAAACTCAAAATATAGAACTCTTAACGAACAAACATATTTGTGTAAGTCTCCACTTTTGAATTTATAAAGATGACAACGTAATTAACCACAGTTTGAAGTTTATGTAGTTGGTATTAATAAATGTAGGTATATATCTTATTACCTACTCTCGGATATATATACTCCGATATTTCTCTTAGGTCAGTAGTGTTTGAATATGAATGAGAATGGTGTAAAAACCGAAACCTTGGTCGTATTAATATCAATACATTAAGTAAGTGGAAATTAGACAAAGTATTTTATTTCTATATCTAGATCATTTAATTGAAGATGAATTTCCACAAAATAAATAAGTCATCAATATCACAAATCACATGTTAGTGTTGAGTTTGCCTGATAAGTCTTCTTCCACAATTTTTTTAGAACTGAAGTCTGATTTACTCTCATTAACGTTTGGATAATTTTTAACAGAAGAAGATGGGGAGAAATCTGTTATATCAGGAAACTTAGTTATATCAGACCAGTTTTGTGGGCTAAAGAAAATGCCATCAAGACTTTGAGAAGGATAAATAGTGCCAAGGATTGATGCAGCCTTTCCTCTCTGAATCGCAATGCTGATTCGTTGTATGAAATGATCTTGCTCTAGAATCGCCTGCTACTGTAATTAGTTTTCAACCAATATCTCTGAAAAAATCGGAAGCAAAGGAACCAAAGCTACCAAATGTTTCAATGGCAATTGGATAGAAAATATATCGTTCTTCCAGACGAATGTATTTCTGCTTCGCAAACATCACCAGATGTTTGAGAAGTTGAATTGAGATGAGAGCGAGCCAAGGTATCAACACAGGTGAAGTCCCAAACCAAAGGTTTTCCATGTCTCCAAGGAATGAGAGATATTCCATCAGGGCGTTTTCCATCATCTCAGCTAATTCCAAGAGGTTCAATCACAGAAGGAATATTGGCTGTTGACAATGCACATTTAATTATGTCATTTACTGCATAATGAAGAAGCGACCTGCACTAAATTTACAACTGAGGCCATGAGTACCATTTTCATCAACAACGAAACTGCGCCGACGTTGGTGATTAACACATATTAACACTTCAAATATGAATTACACTCCAAATATGAATATCACTGATATGACGTGGAGGTTGCAAAGCCAAGCTTCAACATCGACCACCTATGAGATTCCTCCTGCGGCTTTCACCACAAGGCAACTAGTTAAAACAGCGCTGTCTGGATAACCCTGAAGAGGCATAAGCCTATAGCAGGGCCCCACACAAAATACACTGTCACAAATATTTTATAATTTTATCCAAAAGTATAATAAACATTTTTGACTTGACTTGCGCTGTCTGGTGTGTTGTGTTTGGCTCTGGTTTTCCACTAGTTGCCTTGTGGTGAAAGTTGCAGTGAAAGACAGAGGACAAAGCTTAGCTTTGCAACTGATCGTCTTGGGAAGTCTCATTTATCTTTGAAATTCGAGGATTGAGTTCTCTGTCGATTCCTTAGATGATGTCTTTGTGAGGGAAGATGTCACCCAACAATAAAATAATTTGGGAAAGTTCAATTATATTCTCCATGAAAAGTCAAAAATTAGACAAACCAAGGTTTGACTGAATAATTTTTTAGTAATTAGCACAACAAGCTTGCCAAAGATGTATTTATTTTTATAACAACTTAAACAACACACCTACCTCAAGTCTTTGTGAGTATTGAAACTTTTGACACAAGTTTCACACTTATATTCTCTCATATTAAGGTGCTGTTTTTCATGTATGTTTAGATCCGTTTTAGTAATGAATCCTTTTCCACAATATGTACACATATTTGACCTCACAGCTTCATGATATTTAATATGTTGCATAAGATTAGAGGAGTTACCAAAGCGGCTATTGCATCGTGTACAAACAAAAGGTCTAACATCTTTACTATTCATGCCATGCTCTTCAACACAATGTCTCACAAAAAGAGTGCTTGAATTGTAGGTATTGGTACATTTTTCACATTGAAATTGTAAAACTTTTCTTTTTCGTTTAGATGATGATGTGGATTTATCTGAAAGGCATATATAATTGGGTATTAAAGACATTTTCACATAAATTTCTAACCTCTGATAATCTCGAGTTTGACATTAACCTCCACCTTTTTTTCATCTTCCTCACTAGAAAGAGTATTAGTGGGATCATCATCAAATTCATCTTCATCCTCATAGTCCTCATCTTCATCTTGCTTCTTTTCATCGGAATCTTCAATATCTTCTGAAGAATCAACATTCTCTTCGACTTTAATTTTTTCTTTTTCCTCAGAAGAGTTTTCCAACTGTACTTTCCGAACAGCATCGGACTTTATACAAGTTTCTCGAAATGTATAAACAATACTTAATAAATTGGTACATGGTTCACAGATTTGGTACCCTACTTTCCATTCCTGAAAAGTTTTGTGAAATATACCTTTATTACCCATGACACACTACTTACAATTTGAGAAACACTTATTTGCAGTTTTGAAAACAAAGTTACATTATTGTCATCTTTCTTCGATAGTTTATTTAGACCTAAGAAATTGTTCAGGCAGACACAACAACTATTTTCCATACTATTCATTTTTTTCCAATTTCCATTCGAATTAGGATAGAGTTAATAATACTTTTGTTGAGAAAATCATTTATAATTCAGTTATTCTACATTCTACAGAAGTCACATAAACTTAAACTTCGTTACTGGACTTCCCAACAAGTTTACAATAATTTGTACGTTTATTTATTTATAAACAATGAAACCAATAACCTCCAAATTTCCACATGTCATATGTCTGGACACGAAAACACAGAAATGACAGAACCATTGCCACACTTACAGGTCACAGTGTTCCATAACATGGAATAGGGTGCCAATTCAAAAGGTATTATTCAGGTTGGTCATGGCAACGTATAGAAGTAAACTTTTACTTCTATACGGTGGTCATGGAGACAGTCCTAGAACAAAAAAAAAACAGTCGCTCAGTTGAACCTGAGAAAGTTATGTACAAACCCATTCTGAATAACCAGTTGTGTAACTATTTTGAACCGTCCTAGAGGCGAACCCGAATATGCTAGAGATGGGCTTATCGATATTAGATGTTATCGATATGATATCTTATCGATACCGATATTTTGAATTCGTATCGATATTCCTTATCGATATATCGATATTTTTTATCGATATATAATAGATAAAAAAACACATTATGTAAAATATATTACTGAATAAATCAAATTCTCACAACTCGAAAACAAAAAGTAACCTAAATGAATTAAATAAATTCTAACAATCGGAAAACGAAAAGTAACAACATAACTTAAATTAATTAAATTTGTGAAATAAAATATTTACATAAAACAAAACATTTATTCTGGATAAACTAAATATATACCTAGAAACTTAATCTAAATTTGAAGCTGAAAATATAATTTTTCCAACTCTCTTGGGACTGAGGCGAGTTCTACGGTCTCGTAGGAGTTGTCCACTCTTTCCGATGGAACAGACGTATAAGATTGCATATCTAAAGAATATAACAATCAGTCCCATTTGGTATTTAGTTATAAAAGATTGAATTACTGTACACCTGGCTTGTCTCCATGAATCATTTCCATCAATATTTTCAAAATATATCCAGCATGCACTGCGTTTTTGTCTGGGTTTCTTAACTTTTCCTTTTTTACTTTTTCTAGGGATGTCATATTCCTTGGTATATTAAGATGATGAAAGATTGTTATTGTTAGGAAATAGAAACAAACCAACAAAGTCAAAACAAAAAGTAGATTGGATGAAGTGACAAAATTATTTTTTTATTTAAGTTGACCTAACAGTAATGTAATATGACAAATGACAAATTGCAAATCTCGAAGACAGACACTCTTCTTTCCTACCTTTACTTCTTCTTCTGAGCTGTACAATGAAACTATGTTGCCAACTAGCCAATCGTCTTACTTAATAGTTACGTGGAAGAAGTATCGTTTTATAACAACAAAAGTGTTTCATTCTTTTCATTAAATTGATCATGAATTTCCACAAAATAAACAAGTCATCAATTACACAAATTATTTCGATATTCTTATGGATACTACTTTTTTTATCGATATTCTTATCGATATTACTTTTTGTATCGATATTCGAAATGTTTATCGATACCTTATCGATATATCGTATCGATAAGCCCATCTCTAGAATATGCCTTATGTAATATATTATGACAAAAAATTTTAATTGTGAAAATATTTGATTCAATTTGGAAAACATCAGTGATTGAAATACAATGAATTTATTCTAGTAACATTTACTAATCATTTGGTAAATTTGATGGTAATATAAATGTGCCTGGAACTGTCTTCTAAGTAACTTTGTATAACTCTAGCCATTATATTATCATATTATGACTTTTAGACTCGTATTTAATTCAGGAAATATAATGATTATATATTTTCAACTCAAGTTAATGGAAATATGGGGGAAGTAGTTATAGCAATGAATAGGAACGAAGAAAAGGTTGGAATCGATTTTGCAATGCCTCATCAAAAAATGTATCATAGTTCACGGGAGTTTGAATAATTATAACTGATGAGGCAAGAGACGTTCCTGTTAAATCCACTATGAAGTGAAGTATATTTAACTCAAATAACGAAAATATGTTCCACCACAGTCATACTCCTTCAGGCTTCTCATCAATGACGAGTTCATTGTAAAAACTATATTTTCGTGTATACCTTTGAGGGTACCTAAAAAAGCATAAATTAGTTTACAAATGAAAATTGCCATACAAGCTGTATATGTATATACTTTGAAATATCAAATATTCTCATACAATTATAATTCACAGTTCTGATGAGTTTTTTCTAACATTCATTATTGTATTCAACTTTTTATTTCAGTGTTTAAACATGTTATTTTTATTGCTGAAACTAATAATTTTCTTTTTTGCTGCTATTGTATTTGATAATAATTTTTGAAATAATTTCATAATGAAGGATTTGAAAGAAAAAATAGAAAACATGTTTTAAGAATCCAAATTCTCGTTATTCTTCAATAAATCTGACAGATCACTACATTTTTTCATTGGTTTAATAGACGCTGTGTATTCTTCGTATTTTTTTATACCGCAGGCGTTACTCTTCGATGGTAATAAATCCCAACTAACAACTTCGACTTCCTTACGAATTGAATATCTATATGCTACAATGTTTTCCAACGTTTTTAAATAATGAAATAAAATTTTCCACTTTTTGACAAAAAAACTAAAAATGTCAAAAAATATTTTACTATGGTAAGAAGTTACTAAGTAAGTGATCCTCAGATAATAATAGTGAATTTGTACTTTCGAATCTGGGGCCTATTTTGAGACAAAAGATAAATCGTTCTACGAAAGTGGTATTGAAATGTTAGAGCGGCGCTGGAATGATTGGGTGGCTCTTGATGGAGATTACGTTGATGAATAAAGCCATTTTTTAACAAAATAAACGAGTTTCCTTTCTTAGGCCCGGAACTTTTCAGCCCAATTGTTAAGATTGGACATCACAAAATCCCTAATTACTTATTTGGAATACTGACAAAAAAGTGAAATGCACCAATGTCTTACTCGCCACTAGCGTTTCTAAGCATCACTCATCACAATTCGAAAGAAATTTTATGTTGTTTCAAAACTTATGGAGTATATTTCAAACTGTGATATCTCAGTGAATACTCATTCAATTTAATTGGAATAAGTGCTAGTCGAATCAATGCACTTTCGCCAACGTAATACAAGCCGATCAATTCCGTCAGCATAAAAAGTGTGTGCTCGGGATTCGATGACGTCGACGAAGGCCTCTTTTGCTTTTGCCTGGCCCTGATTGAAGAAGGTTCTACCGGTGAGAAAGTTATAAAAGTACTTGAAAAGATGGTAGCGGTTGGTGAGAGGTCTGGGAAGTACGGTGGGTGAGGCAGAACGTAGACGCTCAATTCGTTTGATTTTCTAACGGTGATTTGTGAAACGTGTGGACGTGCTTTTAGTGGGACAGGATTGTACCCCTCCCGTTGACCAGTGCCAGCTATTGCCGACGAAATTTTCAGTACATTACGTAGATTTCTGGTTTATCATGAATCACACCAGCTGCTGACCACCATACAGTAACCCTGGTCTTTTTTTGGTGGGTTTTCACCTTTGAGAAGTGCCTGGGTGGCTTATCGGTGTCAACCACTGTCCTGAACGTCTTCTGTTTAGCGGCTCCACTTTGCATCACACGTGCCAATCCGACCCACAGATGCAAAGAACATACCTTGAAATTTTTGCCTTCCCAATTATACCTAACGATACATTTGATTCAGCAATTCGTGATTTTTTTCGCATCTGGTTTTGTTGAGTTTGTTTCCTCTCCAGATGAAAATTGCTGACCACCAATATTCCTAGGTTTGTTAACAGGACCAAGAGTCAGATAAATGAAAAGTTTTTACTCTGCTTCGAAGACTCAGGGTCGGATTCATTGTGCTCCATAAAGTGGTATCTCAAAGGTTCTGTTAGCGACGAGTTGGCTCGGTCATATATCCTTTCAGCATAGATACACACACTCTAACCTTCGCAGGTGACATCTGCTAGGTGAGGTATTTCAATACCCCTTGCTGTAAGGTAGCATAATACAGACAGAAGTGATTTTGATTGGTCTTGTATCATGAATATTTGCTTGCTACCCAGACAACAAAATTAAATTTTGAAACCTAATAAAGTGTATCATAATGAATTTATTCCATTTCGTTATATAACATTATAGACATAAAACCAAAATAGATTGCCAGCAAAATAATCGCAAAAGATTTTATTACCTGGCTTCATTTTATGTATAAACATTTCACATTACCAATTGAATTTTTCAAAAAATTACAGTAATTATTAAAAATCCATTTAATTTATACAACTGATGAATAACTTTTTAAGATATTCTTATACTTTCACATCTTTATATCACATTTCAATTTTTTTTATGAGGAGAGTGAAGTAGAGATTTAAGTATCAGACCATTTACTAATCCTAATCTTGGTATTTGAACAGATAAACAAAAAACAAAAGTCATAAACATGAAAATACACATAATTGACATTGAAATCATAAATATAGAATAGCCCATGATAAATTATATTTTTTCATTTTGAGGTACTGAGTGCATTAGATTGCTGTTCATTAATACTATGAGTATTTTTGAGATGTTGTCTTAAGTACGATTTATCAGTGAATTTCTTTTCACATATATAACACGAAAATGGTTTCAGACCAGAGTGGGTACAAAGGTGTCGGGCTAATTTCAGTCGATCATGAAACCTGCCAGGGCATATGTGACAAGCATGCTTCCTTTCTCTAATGGGTATTTTTGCATTACCAATACCATGAGCTTTGGTCAAATGTACATCTAAAGTATTCTTTTTCCTGTATTCTCTCCCACACTGGTCACACCTATGACATCTAACATTAGAATGGTAACCCACATGCTCCTGTAATTCACTTTTGCTAGCAAATGTTTTTTTACAAAGTGTACATATAAAGTTTTTCTCGCCAGTATGTCTACGCAAATGTTGGTCATGATTGGATTTTAGGGGAAATCGCTTTCCACAAACATGACAAACAAACTTCCACAATTCTGGATCACTATGGACTATCAAACAATGCGTTCTCAAATTGCTACTAGTTTTGAATGCTTTTTCACATTTATCACACTTATAATTTCGTTGATTAAAGTGTATCATTTCATGAGACAAAAGATCATTTTTGGTTATGAAACTTTTACCACATATGCTACATATGTTGGTTCTATTTCTATCATGATAAAGCTTATGATTCATTAGATTTGTTGATGATCTGAACCTCTTACTGCAAATGTCACAACAGTAAGGTTTAACTTGTTTTTCCTCCATAGAATGAATATTTATGTAGTGATCAATAATATCTTTGACAAGGTTGAATGTATCATTACAAATTTCACAGATAAATATTCTTTTTTTCAGGAACCTTTCTTTTGCATGTTTATTTCTTTTATGAAATTCATAATCTTCATTAGTATCAAAGTTTTCACGGCAGATATCGCAAAAGCTGGAAGATTTTTTGTGATCCTCCCTCATGTGTTCATTCATTTTCTGCTGGGATTTAAATGGTTCGTCACATATTTTACAAAACATGGAATCATTACTATTTCTTCTGCAGCCATGTTTTAAATGTTTTCGAAGTGTACTCAAATGTTTGAAGAAAGCATTACATTCAGTACACTGATGGTCAGTTTTTTCAAAATCCTTTATGAAACATCTCTTTTCATGGGTTCTAAGAATTTTGTCAGTCGTGTAATATCTCTTACATTTGAGACACTGGTGTTCTTTTTCCACTTCAATTTTCATATGCCTATTGACTCCATCACATATGGCTGAATGTTCTTGTAGAGAATGAGTTTTTACAAATTTTCTACCACACTGCAAGCATATCTCCCTTCTTTTGTATTTGGATACATCTTCTTCATATTTATTGACATGCTCTGTATCAATGTGTTTAATAAGTTCATCTTTTGAGTCACAACCCTTTTGACAATGGAAGCATATAAAAACTTTACTCTCTTCTAAACTGGGTTCTTTGTCTACTGATATATCACTGTTATACTCTACTTCAAGTGTATCACATAAATTATTGCAGGTCCCATGGAACTTATTGTTTTTCACATCAAGACATTTTTCTTTAAATTTACATGCAGCTGACAAATGATCTATACAGGCATCGCATATTTTGAATTCACTCAACCATTCCTAGAAAAAAATCATGTTTGAATAAAAACAAAGTTATCCATAGTTCATCCCAAAATTTACCACTTCAGGAGCAATAAATTGAAGTTTAGAAGAGATTGTTATTCCAAAGGCATCTTTTTCACTTATACTCTTTCCAGAGCTAGTCGACTCTAAGCATAGAGTACAACGTTGTAAATGTGAAAGCATTTGTGCAGGTTGAACACAAATAGGAAAATTTTAATTATTTCATAATTTTCCCAATGATTTTGATGAGAGTTCACGCTATTTCAACATGCAAACAGTACAATTTTTTTATTTCAAACCATTTTAACACATCACAAAAATGTCTTTGATTCAGTTTTTCTGGTTTCAATTATAAAATAACAAAAACATTTTGACATAATCCAAATACCCCCATTAGATTCTTGAATTTCAACGTCACTTTTACTCTTTCACATTGTAATTAGGTGTGTTCGAATAATACAAATTAGATCGCTCTATTAGCTCGCTTTGCTCGGCAAGCTAGCGAAGTGCGTTCGGTATTTACGAGAGCAAGAAAAAATTTTATCGGTTAGTTCCGAGATTAACGTTAGGAACAGTAGTCATATTAAAAAGAAAGGTTACGTTTTAGGTATTTCCAAGGATTTTAAATAATTGAGTTTGTAAATTCACAAGCATAAACATTGCGGGTGCAACCTGTTAAATAATCAAATCGATTTAGTTTACTCACCGGTTTTCAAATTGGCACATCCGCACTGTAAATTGAAAATTCAGGTACTCAATCAAGCCAAGTACGTGTATTTTATTACCTATAGGGGTATGTAAGGGCTAATGTAATAAATCATTTTTAGTTTAATGTATCAGTTTGAAAATGTTCTTATAGGACGAAACTACAGTAACGTTAGTTACAAATAAAAGTGGTAAAAACATAGAAAGTTTCAATTCTCTTTTCTTCTATATTTTCACGGATGGTAAAATATGTGTTCTGTTACAAGTGATTTTCCTTTTTATATTAATACCTCTACTCTAGGTTTTACATCTCTTATAGCAATAATGTACTCGAGAGAGTCATCAATCGAACTACACTATTTCAGCAAAGTACGTGCGGGCAATGCATATAGACTAATATACAAAGGTGCGGGTGTGGCAACCAATTTTTCCAAATGGTCTTTTAAAATATTTATATGCTGAAGAGAAAGAAAAATTGAAAATAAGTGCAAAACATCCCAAATTCGAAAAAAAAAGGAGTTCGTCGTTTTAGCTGCCGAAAAATACTGAACTGAATCAATTGAGAATAATAATACAAATAACTAAAGTTCTTGTGATGCACTGCATCAACTAAAGTTGATTTGCAATTGAAAAAAAATCACGCAGTGCATGATTTCTAAATATTTGAAAATAAATCTTAAGCTGATGGATGTAGCCGTTACTATGTGGTAGGAGATCATGATGAAAAGAGAAATGAAAATTTCTATGTTTTTTACCACTTTTATTTGTAACTAACGTTACTGCAGTTTAGTCCTATATGGACATATAGAAATTTTCATTTCTATGTTTTTTATGTCCTATGCAGTAACGTTAGTTACAAATAAAAGTGGTAAAAACATAGACATTTTCATTTCTCTTTTCATAAATAATAAGCAATAATCGTTGAAGAGAAACCAAATATAAATATCTTCAAAATGGCCAGTATTCTTGCTGAATTTTTTTCTTCTTCAAATCATTACGACAGTCAAGTCTCAAACTTTTTTAATTGCGATTTCTGTAGAGAATATTTGTTTTTCAAATTTTATTAAATACTTGCTGCAAATTTTAGCAAATCTAGTTGCATTATAATTTTATCTTCTCAAAACGATATAAAATTTTTCCTTCGTCTATTTGTATTGTATTTCAGTAAGAACCATTGAAAGAGTGATTAAAGAAGGAAAGCAATTAATTTCTGCAAATAACGGAGAAGTAAAATTTTCCACCCCAAGAAAGAAGCGGATTAGAAGAGCATCAGTATCCGATATTCCCGAGTATGAGTATTCCAATATAAGACGGATTATTTACGACTTACATAAGGCGGAAGGATGTCATTTTATGATAAAAAAGTTCCAACACAAAATTAATGACGTTTTGGGAATTGCGGCTTCCGAATCATCTCTTCGTGGAATTTTAAAGAAAATAGGTTTCAAATGGAGAAGGACTGAAAATAATAGAAACATTTTAATAGACGGTAGCTGGTCCGTTCAACGTGGGTGCTTTGTTCACTCACTCAAATTGACCGCCGTGTTGGTCGCTGGTTCATCGATTTTCACTTGCTATCTTCCAATCCGTGTTAGGAATCACACGTTAAAATGTAATACCTCGTTAGTCCTTAGCTCGCACAAGTTTCGACTTCTGAGGGTTGTCTAGGGGTGCGACAGCTGGTTAACGGAAAAACATAATTTTTTTAAACAGATAGACGAAATAGATATTGGAGCATTGATGATCAAGTATTTACAAAATAATCTATAATTTTTGTTGCCAACAGCGACCAACTGTGCTTCTTGATGAAACATACCTTCATAGTGGACATACATCTTCGAAGAATTTGGCGGATGAAACAAACAAATGGTTATTTAAAAATATTGTAAGGGTCCAAGACTCATTATTGTCCATGCAGGAGGTGACATGTTTATACCTTACCGTTGGCTTATATTTAAATCAGGCAAAAAACATCAGGGGATTATCATTCAGAAATAATTTTTGAATTAAATTATGGTGAATGGTTACAAATTTACCTGTGAATTCGGTAGTCGTGACCGATAATGCTCCATACCATAATATTCAAATTAATCCAGCCCCCAAAACAAATTTTAGGGAAGCTGACATGGCTGCACGAAGAAAACATTATTTTCACCCTTAACATGCTCAAACCCAAATTATACGAGTTGATCAAGCAAGGTAAATAAAAAGCATCATATTAGATACAAATTTGATGAGGTTATGCTTGAACACGGGCAAAACGTTTTGCGACTTCCACTCTACCATCCGGATTTGAATGCCATTGAACTGGGCTACTGTCCCAAAAGAATGAAACTTTCAAGTTGGAAGATGTGAGGAAACTGCGGCGGAGCACGAGTTTGATGAAATCACTTCTGAGGAATGGTAAAAGCGTTGCCGACATGTAGTAGATATAGAGCGGTAATATTGGGAAATTGAAACATTCACAGGCGTTCAAACAGAGTTAAGTCTAGTGATTATAAATTCAAATGATGATAGCAGCACAAGCAGCAGTGAAGATGAAGAAAATTTGTATTCAAATTGTGACTGAATAAAGATTATTTTTGGAAAAGTGTACCATTATATAACATTTTAATGAACTGTACTACCATCTATAATAAGTACTAAATAAAATACAAAGAAGTCAAGTTTCATTTGCTACCTTAACTTTAACTAATTTTAGGTACGACACTGGCCTGCAAGGGGCTCATCGTAATCCAGTTAATTTAGTTGAGAGAGTCTATACCACAGTATATATACACACATCGGAAAAGTCTAGGGATATTTTTAAAAATGGCAATAATTTTTTTAGATCGCTTTAGGGAAAAAAAAAGTTGACGGGTGATTAAACGAATGTAACATACAACAAAATTTATTAAATGGTCAAAAATACTGAGTGCNCTTAAAATGTTTGTTATTTAATGATACATGTACATAAAAAAGTTATTTTTGATAGATAGATAACAAGAACGATTATGAAATTGTGGTATTTTAAGGTTTTTTTAAAATTCCTGCCATTTGTTTTGTGTTTTAGAAGTTATGTTTCAGTGAAATTTACTACAAATTTATTTTGAAAAATCAGTAGGTACATTATTCTCAGATTTATAATTCTTTCGAGAAGAATATCCAAAAATCTTAGATTTTCACTCTGGAATTGTTGTTGTTAGTTGTTTGAAGTAAAAATAGATATGTAGCCAGTGTTGCCACAAGCTATTTTTTCATCGAGGTAGACTTTTGGAAGGAAGCGGGGTAGAACCGGGGTGGATCCACATTCACATGATTGTAACTCAGTACTCGGTTACATCGGAACCACAAACTAATTATTGGAACTATCGGTGTAACACACAACCAAGGAACCGCCGCCAGCGGCGCCAGACACTCAGTCTACCCAACGTTGCCAAGGGTACTCGGCTGGTGTATCGCGGAAGATTCAAAATCAAACCTCAAATATTTGTTCATTTCTTCAATTTTTATTTTACATTCTTTTGGTTATAACTGTAGCGAGGTAGATTCACTTGAGGAGAGCGAGAGGGTAAAATTAAGTTCAAGGGGGCAGAGTTGAGGGTTATAAATTCTACATTAGCTGATATCAACGTATAGGTATTCCACAGGGTTATATTTTGGGTCCTGTGTTATTTCTACTATATATTGAAAATAATAATAATAATCGTCTTTATTGTTTCCCAGCTGAAGTTGTTCTTTCACTCAACTTCAAAAAGATTCTACCTAATATAAACTTATAAATACAAACTTATAAACTTTTCAAAAATGATACACGATCCTCACTGTTCCCGGTTTATTTCAAGACTGTCTATTATTCACTTATTAGTTATACAACTCGATATCGACGATGCTGGTGAATCATATAGCGAGTCATTGCAGTTGCCTTTGTTCCCTTGAACAGTCATATCGCCAGTAAATTTCCTCCAGATTTTAACACTAAGCTAAGACAAAAAGAAAATAATAGGTACATGAAAAAAAATTTGGATTGTTCAAATATCTATTAAGATGCTGGAGAAGACGTCCATTACTGAGACTTATTCTGGTGAACATCAGTACGAAAAGTGATTTTCCTGTACAGATAAGGCGGCATTTTGGTTTGTATAATTTTGTTATATACATTAGCAGCATTTAATATCCGTCTATTTTTCATTATGATCCACCCCGTATCCCGTAACTTATGGGATATTATTTGATATTATTACTCTGAGGATATTTCCTAATTCCGTGATTGAGCCGTCGACACGAATTTTGTACTTTCTGTATTTTCTGAGTATACTGTTTGGTTAAACATGGACCATATAAAGTATCCGAGTAGTTGAAGCGCGATAAAACCATTGCATCGCAGAGAGTTATTTTCGTCTGTTTCGTGAGTACGTGTCTGTGTCCATAAATAAGTTTCAACGAAGAATATGCCAGTTGTATCTGTTTGTTTATATGTTACTCAAACCGCAAGTCAGAGTCGATTATAACTCCCAAGATTTTTGCATTTATTTGTGGGTTGCAAAGGAACATTATCAATCGTGATTGTAAGAGATTCACTTGTTTTCTGGCAATTCTTTTTTGATCTGAAATGGATGATATTCGATTTAGTGGAATTTAGTAGTAGACAGTAACCTCTTGCCAACTCAACAAATGACTCGAGATCATTGTTAATAAGTGTACCTGCGTTTTCTACACCTTGAGGGAGAAAGCTGTGATAGAGTTGAGTGCCATCAGCATAAAGGTGAAATTTACAGTGTTCTACACTACGCAATATGTTTAATGAATAAATTCTAAACAATAGTGGATCCAATATTAAACCCTGTGGCACACCCGACTTAAGTTTCAGATAGTTTGAATAGATTCCACCCTGGCACACTTTTTGTTCCCTGTTTTTGATGTAACATTCAAGAAATCTGATAGCACTACCCGATAATCCCATATAGTTTAAAATGGCGAGAAGTAGATCATAGTTTAGAGTATCAAAAGTATCAAAAGCTCGACTAAAATCAAGATGCAAAGTACAGAACAAAGAGCCTCATTTGTAGCCCTAATAATGCCGTCCACGATGTGCAGCAGAGCAGTGGCGCAGCTATGACCTTTGCGAAACCCAGATTATACTTCCGGAAGCAGAGAAAACCGAGAGAGATGATTTCTCAGCTGTTCATCAACAATAATATTGGAAAAACTATTTGGTGAGTCGTATGCGCTATGGTGTTTGTTGCTGGGGATGGTCAATCACGTCTCAGGAAGTTTTCATTGCATAAAAAAAAATTATCAGGTGCATCATGAATGAGCCTAGTACCGAGAGCTGTAAAAGTTTTTTCAGCAGATATGAAATCTTACCACTTCCATCGTTATATATGTTTGAACTGTGTCTCTATATTTTCAAAAATAGAGATAGTTTTGTGAAGAATTCTGATATACATCAAGTAAATATTCCCAAAATCACTTCCATATATCAATTTGTAAAAATGGAGGACATTTCTGCTCTCCTGCTAATAATGGCTTACGTGCATTTGATAAATTACCAAATGAATTGAAAAACTGTTCTTCGTTATTAACTTTCAAAAAGCAACTTGAAAATTACTTGTTACAAGATGTTTTCATTCAACAGATGAATTCTTTTCAGAAGATATCTCGTAAGAATATTGTCATCAATGTTTCTGTTATATTTCACATACTATAACATTTTTATATGTTTAGAATTTTTAACGGCGAGTCTTGGCATTCCAAAGCTCTAAATGTGAACTGTTGAACCTACCTTGAATGTTTTTTTCTAGACTTGATTATTACAATTCAATATTTTGTCTCTTGGGAAATAAATGTATTATTATTATTATTACCTACCCCATACGGCTGGTAATATGCTTGGTACATGATCCAGCAGATCATCGGATAGGGATCACTAACGTCTCCATAGAGGCAGTTGCATGATACCTGCATGACATGCGAGTGTTTGATATAATACAGACGTTTCATGAGCGAGTTTTATATAAATAAAAAAAAAATCGTGTACGAAGAATTCTTAAAAATGTCAATAGCAGACCCGTGTTTCTGGGTTATTGGCCATCATAAGTACTGTATAACTGTGAGCAAAAGTGGGCAACACTTGGTTGCAGCAAACAACATAAACGAAGTTATTGTTTAGACTTATATCAAATCCACTCACAAAATAATAGGCCTTTTCATCATAAGACGAGCGCAAGCGTAGCTGTCATATTGAAATGGCGGTAATTCAAAACATTCGTACTGTTTTAATCAACAATGACTGGGCAAGGAATATTATCTCTACAAACAAATAAATTATTGGAAAAAACCATTGATGGTGCTTCACTTGTAAATAATTCAGTTGAGGCTCATAATTGTGAACAATTAAAAAGGTGGTTAAAACGTCATGGGCGTCCGCAAAAAGTAACAAAAGTGAGCTGATTGAGAGGTTAGGTATCAGCATTTGTTTACTATCTAAAAACATATTAAAAAAATAGTATTTACAGTTTTATTCTTATAGCTTAAAGGATAAAGGATCAGGGTTTTGTTGAGTTGGACCACTTTCTCCAATGAAATGTAGTCAGCAAATATAAGTATCCTTGGTAACATCATCGGTCACTCCTGCCACATTTTTTCACCCATTATTCACATTTCGCACATTTTGAACATGCTTTAATATGTAATTTGCTTGATGATTTGATTATTTTTTTTGCGATATTCAAAACAAGGCTTTGGAAAATTTATAAAATAGTATGTGTTGGTTCTGAATGATTTAATCGTGTATCACTTTTACATACTCCATAACAACACTGTTTTGTTGTTCCTTTTCGTACAGATAACATAATTATAATGGAGTATGAAATTTTTTTTCTGATTATTTTTTTTTTTCACTTTTTTTACAATTAATAAACTTCAATTTATATTATAATTTTTAAAACATGAGTTGCGGGCTCTTTAACATGGTTGTTTACAAAAAACAGTACGAAAAAGATGGCTGATACTGACGCATGCGCACAAAAAATTGTGATGAAAAGGCCTATTTCTGTATTATATCCTGGACCCGAAGGTCATGAAGGTACTTGAAGCAGCATCTGTGAAGTCTTATGAACCAATATACAATTTGTTTTACATATAGGTTGTTGACGGTAAGAAGAGAATGACGTCACAAGATGACAAAAGTTACGGCGTTGCCAACATGTGCACTATTTCGAATCTTATCACCATCTAATGTTACAAAATTCTGCACCACTTCTATCAATAATAACAGTTTTGTTCCATAATACTTCACAGTGCGGAACAGGGTAGAAATTGAAAAAAAGTCAATCATAAAAATCAGAAACGCAATAAAATGTTATCTCTATCAAATATTGTTTGAATTTGTTCATGAACTTGTATTTGGAGTCGTCTAAATTCCAAATATGATCAAATTCAGTTTGAAATTATGTATGAACTCGCTTGAATAGAAAAATTGATCAATCAGATTAAAAGAAACCATGCTCAACAAGCGACTCACATACGTTAGTAACTGAAACTCTCAAATAAAAATGCGGTTGATTGTAAAAAATGTATTAGTGGTGACTACACACAAACATACATACATATATGTGTATCTATAGTATCTTCCACAGATAAGTAATTTATTCACAAAAAGGAAGGGGGGTTTCTTCTGAAACAACTACTCCTAAAGGCTTTGTATTACATAGAAATAACTTTTACTCGAACAGTTTGTATATTATTATTATTTACATATGTACCTTGAATCGGTCATATAACATGTATAAAATTACACATCATGTATGTATGTATGTATGTACTGTACAGAAAAGTATGGTGTAATTCTTAAATACCTATATTCATTCAACCTTGGAAATCTGTATGTAATCTGGTAACCCAGACAAATTTGTTTTTGCAAATGACAGCTGTTCAGAGAGCTTCATCTAATAAAGAAGGTTTTTGTTTCCTATTTTCAATGATTTGGTGAAGTAGAAGTTGAACACAGTTTCATTTAAACAAAATAATAAGTTTTTGAAAGTTATATTAACTATCATTGATTCTTTAAGTATTATGTAAATTATTTTTTAAATTTCATGTCAACAATTTAATACCAACTTGACAGGTCTACTGCTTTTCAACATGGCCGACATAGCGACGCGAAGTGTATGCGCGTACTTTTCCCGCCCAAGGGAGTGCCCCTGCTGTTAGGTATGCTGTGCCTATACCAACACAGTTTTCAAACCCTATCAGCCAGAAGTCTGTTTTACACGAGTTAAATAGGCAAAAAATCAAGCTGCCTGGTAGAATAAATTTGCACTCAAATTTCAACTGAAATTATTTGAAGTTTGGTTGACTTTTTATTGTTCAATTATTTTAAATTGAATTTTACTCAGAACTCACTCATGGTATGGATATAAAAGAATATAAATTGATGGATGTAGCCGTAACTATGTTGTAGTTTATCATTATGAAACATGAGAAATAAAACTCTATGTTTTTTACCACTTTTATTATTAACTAATATTACTGCAGTTTCGTCCTACAAGGACATTTTCAAAGTAATAAAAAGAACTGAAAATTAATTGATAATATAAGCCCTTATATATTTAAACACCACTGTAGGTAATGACAGAGATACTTAACTTAATTGAGTACTTGAATTTTATTTACCTGTGACAATGTGGGTAGCCTTATTTGAAAATCGGTGAGTAAACTAGATTGATTTGATCATTTAGCAGGTTACATCCGTAATGCTTATGCTTATGAATTTCCAAGGATTCCAAATAATTAAATTTTCAACCGGTTTTCAAATTAATGTTATAGACACATTATATAATACTTTAAGAGTAGATTTGAAGCAATCACTATATAAACCAGGTTCACTTCGGCAAGATTTATAATGAACTCTACCTGACATAGGCTTAGTGTGGATTTATGCAAGGTCAGAATGACCTCTGAGAGAATATTTTTTTTATATTTTTCACTCACCCTGATGGACAGAACTCCTCCACAATATTGTTAATAGTGTTGTGAAATACTTTTACATGATGCTTCAGGTAGGATTTGTCTGTGAATTTTTTATCACAAGAAGTACAGGCATATGGTTTGACACCAGAATGACTACATAAATGTCTGGATAATTTTTGTTTATCATAAAATTGACTGGGACAAATGTGACAGACATATTTTTTCTCTCTGATAGGAATCTTGACTTCTCCCACAGAGTGTGACTGTTTCAAATGCGCCTTCAAAGTTCTCATTTCCTTGTAGTCTTTTTTACAATACTCACACCTGAAAGGTCTCATATTAGTATGTAGTGAGATATGTCTTTTTAATTCACTGCTGGTGACAAATGATCTTTTACAAATGTGGCATACAAATTGTTTGTCACCAGAATGTCTCTTCATATGCTGATCATGATTGCTCTTCAGTGGGAACTTTTTTTCACAAATAGAACAAGCATATTTCCATGAAGAACTTTCTGTGTGTACCACTAAAATATGAGTTCTCAAATTTTTATTTGTGTTGAATGCTTTGTCACACGTAGAACATTTGTAATTTCTGCGATTGAAATGAGTATATTCGTGAACAATAAGGTCACTTTTAGTTATAAATCCTTTCCCACATAAGCTGCAAACATTATCTCGATTTCTTTCATGATATTTTTGATGCTGATCATAATTTGCAAAAGTACTGAAACGTTGGCAACATTTATTACAAGTGTATGGCTTGACATTTTTTGCATCCATGGAATGTATAGAAGTGCAATGTGCTATTATATCTTTAATATAGTTGAATTTTTGGCTGCATACTTCACAGGTAGAAATTTTTGTAGATTTTCGTCCTCGTCTTTTCTTAGATGGTGTAACACCTTTTTCACTATTAGAACTTTTTAATTCAACCATTTCATTCGGTTTACTCAATTCACATCCTTTGCGGCAACAATGATGAGAAGCTAACTCTTCTTCAGATGATGAATTAAATGAACAAAGTTGACAAACGCATTCAATAAGAGAACGTTTAGAATCAATTGCTGTATCATCATTTGTTATAAAAGTTTCATTTTGGGTTATTTCAAGTAAATTTTCATCAGATTTTGAACCAATGCTATAATTGAGATTCAAATACTCTTTACCATTCTTTACATACTCTATATCATTTTGAACAGGGTTTTGTAAATAATCCTCAACTTCTTGATCTTCTAGTGACTTTTGATAGCCTATAGAACTGCCACTATTATCATGTGTATCATTTGCTTTAGGTCTGTGTTCAACTTTTTGCCTTGACACAAGTTCCAATAATTGCACTCTAAATTTTAAACAGCACTCCACCTCTTCGATACAAGCATTACATATGAAACATTCTGCTGATTGTTCCTGTTGAAAAAAAAAAAAGAATAAGCAGCGATCCACATTCAATAAATAGTGAAGAGAACACCCATTACCAATTCAGAAACAATAGATTTCAATTTCGTAAACCATTTTACACCATTTTCATCCTTATCTTCAAAACTTCTAGAGTATCTACGAGGCTCTTGGCAGATACTACAATAATTCGTAGTCATTGTTAAATCATTGCTTTTGCATGCTATCTTGTTTTCGATGAAATGTTCTCAAAAATGTAAAAGATTTTAAAATTGAAGTTGGTGTGGTTAAGATTTGGCATTTGACCATAGACATAGACAATATAAACGTTGCCACAGTTTAAATGTACATAGACCGTGCGTTCCACTAAGCGCAAGCTCCCAACGACCCATCTGAAGAGGTGGGTAAGGTTAAAGTTGACGTGAGAATATTTCGGCGCAATTTTTGAAATATGACATAAATGTATCATTCGTAATTCATTTATAATTTCCTAACTTATTCCATTATTCAATCTCATAAGTAATCAATGGAATAATTACACAAAATGAAGTAAATTTAAGAATAGCATAAATTTAGAGAATAATCTAAGTATGCAATTAGACATGACATTTTCAAAATTTATCGTGTAATATGTTTTCACGATTATAATTTTGTGAAGTTACATTCCACTCTCTATCTGAACTGGATGCATTAGTTTCTAGAGCACTATTGCGACACATCTACAAATCTCCAATTCACATTTTGATTACATTCAAGTCAGGTAATTCTCATCAATAAGTTTCAATAATTGCAAGCTCACATTATTAATATTAGAAAAGAAGTATTATTCGATATTTTGTATATAATTTCAGTGAAGTATTTAAACAAATTAAGTTTGAATGTAATCAAAATGTCCTTTACGGCAAGAAATAACATACAAGCAACAACCAACAAGAATAAAAGATTGAAATATAATTACAAACTGAAAAAAAAAAAATAAAAAAAAAATAATTAACAAAAAATGAAAAATAAAAATTGAAAGATTCCAAACCAAGTTACGTCACGACGTTTCGATTGTTAGTATTCACAATCGTCTTCGGGTATCAGAAGTCGAAACTTGTGCGAGCTAAAGGTTAACGAGGTCTTACCTTTTAACGTGTGATTCCTAACACGGGTTGGACGATAGCAAGTGAAAATCGATCGTTCAGACTAAGGCCTGAACCACCGACCAACACGGCAGTCAATTCGAGTGAGTGAACAAAGCACCCACGTCGAACCGCCTGGCTACCGACCGAATCTAATAAAAACACTTTTTCCATACCAGAACGAAATTTCTTAATTCATTTTTGCATCATAAATTAGTGACTCATTTTTTCCCAATATAGTTATGTTCATACGTTCTGTCTTGCTAATGAGTTGTGTATTGTGGACTTTTGTGTATTGTGGACTTTTTTTTCTGGGTGGACTTTAATTTTAAATACTATGAATATTCGACTCCGTTGTCACATGTGATTTTTACGTTATTAAATTCAAATATGCTTTTGCTTTTTCAACATAGGTACTCTTCGATAACTTCCAAATCTACATTTTTATGTTGAATATAGGTAGATTTTGGTGAAATGAGTGAAGTCATCAAGAACTGTTACGAAATAGTTTTTATTGTTTCAAGTAGAAGGTTTGATGAGTCCACAAACATCGGTATGGAGAATTTGTAAAGGTTTCGCAGTTTGCGATTTGTTATCAGGAAAGGTTTTCTGGTTTGTTTGGCTTCCGGGCAGCATGCGTAAATATTTTCTAATGGTTAAATGAGTTTATTTGATATGCCAATCTTCAGCAAATATTGTACAGGATTTTTAATCAGCTGAGAGATAAACGTGTTCTTGGAGTTTTATAATAAACACAATAATAAACGCGGCGTATGAATTTAGTGATATTCTGTGATATTCTTCTGAACCACATAACATCAAAATTTTGGGGTTCCAGCATTTCATTCGTTGACAGGAGAAATTGCTTCGGATATAAAGACATATTCCAAAGTTACGTCGGAATCGGGAGTGGATCCAGATCCATCTTGATTTTATTCAGGTTTGGAGACCAGCTCCCCCTACCCTTTTGGCTGATTGTTGATCTTGAGAGGGAACAATGGGTTCATGACTGATTGATGACGGCATGAAGTCCTTAGACATCAGTGCCGCCCTTAACGGGATACCCCTACCTGGCTGGGGTGGGATGGATGAAAAAGTTATTCATCCGTTAACGGGGGACATGAGGGCCTCATTCGACAGAGTGTCGGGGCCTTCTATATCGGGAGGGGTCGCCTACAGCATAATCTGTGGTTTTCCTAACTAACGAATCGGGAGTGAAAATCATAATTTTTCCTTATATTCCTACCCTTGAAACCGGAAATAACGGCACAGAAACGAAACGTTAGCCCGAAACCAACTTCACGCTGCCGAAGCCGTTGTAATGATATCTCAGCGGGCGACGCCGGGTGGGATAGGAATCTATCATAGGTTTCCTGCCAATGATGTTGAATGCCCTAATCAGCTAATTGGTAAGGCCGGGTTACACTATGGCACTGCCCGTTCGATCGGACGCAAATTCAAATGCGGTTACGATGACGGAGCTGTGGGAATCCAGCATAAGCATGAACTATGACCGTGGTCATGCATGGTCCGTGACCATGAGAGGAATTGGAGCATTTCTCCTTAGGGCAGCTGCTCGAGCAGCTGATGAACTCGGTATAGTTTTCGACTCTGAACGAGTTGGAATCGAGTTGGAACCCGTTCAGCAAAAAGCTCAGATAAAAGCCGCAGAGATCACCTTACTTTTTCGGAAACACAAGGATAAGCCAATGCATGGGGTCTTCTTCAATAACTTCGGAGACCGTGGCTTATCAAAGCGCCTGACCTTCGCTTTTCTCAGGTCGAGTGGGCTGAAGTCGGAAACTGAGTGGTTCATCATGGCTTGCCAGGATGGTGTCTTCAACACCTTAGTCTACCGCAGTCGCGTGATGGGTATCGAGGTTCCTGACACAAGGTGCAGGGCCTGCCACGAGGCGCCTGAGACCCTGATGCACTTGCTATCAGTATGTCCAGCATATGCGGTCTCGGCCTATATCCATCGACATAACGCGGCCCTAAGAGTGCTATACTACCATCTGCGGCACTCTTACGGTATTGACGAGATACCGGTGTTGCCCTACGCTCCGGGGGATATTGAATCCGTTGTGGGGAACGAGAAGTGCCGAATTTATTGGAACTATTCGTTCCTCACCCTCAGGCTCATGCAAGCTAATAAGCCTGATGTAGTCCTTCTCGACCACCAGACCAAGACGATATTTGTCGTGGAGTTTTCAGCTCCTGGCGAGATGAATATCGTCAGAAAAGAGGAGGAAAAACGGATGAAATATCGAGATTTTCTCTCCGAACTCCGCAGACTCTATCCAGATCACTCTGTCAAGATGGTTGTTCTGATTATTGGAGTCCTTGGTGGAATGATGGCTTCTCTACTCTCGAATCTCAAAATCATACCGGCTTGCCGCACTAAGGCAGAAATCTTAGCCGCACAGATGCAGAAGGCTGTCATTCTTGGCTCACTGCGCTTGCTCAGGGCACATGATTCTCGGACCCAATGATCACTTACCCCACGGTGTGGGGAGTGGTCATTGGTTGATAATGCTGGCGCGCCCTCCCGAATGTATCGGGGCTTCGGGGGATAGGGCCTGACCAGCGCACACTACGGTGAAAAAAAAATAATAATAATAATTTATTAGTTCTTTAGATTATGTCTAGCATAATATAGAACAAGTCAGCATAGTACAGTATCAGTATAAGATAAATTAATATTAAAAACATTTTAGCCAAATTGTAGTCAATATAATTATTATAGTTATTGATGTAACTAAGTGTATGACAGCATGTAAAAGGACTCAATATAATAATATTGGTGGTTAATAATTTGTAATTGGTTCTTATTACTATTTCATACATAATACAGAACAAGTCAGGTGTCAGTAATAGTTTGTCCACGCGATTATACAAACAAGTGACTTAACTTATAAATAGATTACAGATTACAGATCATACATAAAAACATCTAAAAGCAATAAAAACAAGTGGTTTGATAAAATATAAAATATGAAAATATGCATGCATACATAAAATATAAAATTAGATAAAATCTGTGTCTCCCAAATACTCACTTATAGAGTAGTGAGCTTTTTTTAATAATATATTTTCTACTACTATTTATTCAAAGGAAGATCTTTGTAGCAGTTTGGTAGATGATTAAACAAAGTTATTGCCATGTATTTTGGGCAACGTTCTGTTTTTTGGAGACGGTGATTCGGCACTTCCAGGATTGCTGCATTTCTTGTGTGATATCTACTCTTTCCCAGCGCTTTGAATGAGGCCAACTCTGTTTTGGCATATATCAATATATGCATGACATACAAAGAATGGAAATTTCAGCTGTACAAATATATTCTTACAGCTTACTCTCCTGGCCACTCCAATGATATTTCTAACTGCTCTTTTCTGGAGTTCGAGTACCCTATCGGCCTCCTGTGATACTCCCCATACTATGATTCCATATGTCATTACTGACTGAAAGTGTGCAAAATATATTATCATCAGTACTGATTTTTCGACGGTTTTCCTGAGCTGGTACAGGAGATAAAACTTTGGAGCTAGTTTTTTGCACACTTCATTTATATGGGTAGTCTATATACAGAGTTCATTCACATACAGCCCAAGGAACTTCGTAGAAGGTGCTTGAGTAATAGATCTGCCGTTAGATTTCAGCAACAAGCTGTGGTCGAGTTTATTATTTTAGTGACTAAATCTTATGAACGTTGTCTTCTCCATGTTCAGAACTAATCCATTTGAAGAGAACCATTCCTCAGATATTTTGATTTCTTCATTGGACTTCCAGACTGTTTGCTCTACATATTGCTCCCTGTAGCTATGAGGTAGGTGTCGTCTGCATACATTACACAACTTCCATTAGAAATGTCATTCACGTATTTCAGATATAACAGAGGACCTAAAACAGAACCCTGGGGAACCCCTACGTCATTTGTTGTTTTCAGCGAATTGCGATTGTTTGCTTGAACATACTGCATCCTGTGTGTCAGATAACTTTTTAGCCAATGTACCACTCCTCTGAAACCGTACAGTTCCACTTTTGTTAAAAGAATTTGATGGTTGACAAGATCGAATGCCTTGCTTAGATCCAAAAAGGTGCAAACCACTTTGTTACCTTTCTCTAACTCCTCCTAACTTTAACCTTCAAGTCTATTATACTTACGTTTACGCTACCGTGGATATAGACACGTCAATGGTTTTGTGACTTTTGTAAATAGAAAATTCAAATTGGTTTCTAATTTCTATTCCACCTATCTTTCTGTCAATTCAATAAAAACAATAATTGGAAATGTCTTAAAATGTACAGTTTTTTAATACATATTTTAATTTTAGGCATAATTAGTGTATCAGGTGAGTATGAAATAAATATATCTACCTTGTCCTGGAGTTTACCAAGGTTATGTATTTTATTTCCAAAACTGATAAAAATCAAATAATGCCTGTTATTTCTTTCCCATTTTCTAGCTGAACTGCAATTACAAATAGTGAAGAATTATAACGAATTCTACATACCAGTCACTGATGTAGTTGAAGAAAAAGTTGGAACATCATTTTCTCTATTATGTGAACTTATAGTAAACAATGACACAAATAATTCCATTGATGATCATCTTACTTGGGTGAAAGGAGAAAACTTATCAAATCAAACAAGGTATATAACATCAGTAACAAAACGAAAGTAAAATCAAAAAGTGATTTTTTTCATTTCAGTTTGAATAAAATTATAAATAGTATTCGTGACATCAACAAATCGGAAAAAAGATTCAGTCCCTTGTTAGCTGAGGATAAAGGAAACTATTACTGCATCAGTCACAAGTTCAATTTATCAAAGAATATAACGATATTGGTAATTGATAATGTTAAAAAAAATGATTTTCGACCCATGAGGGAAACAATATTTTGTAATGACCAAATGTTTCAATGTGTATCTAATGGATTATGTATTATACCACACTATGTGTGTGATGGTAAACCTGATTGTAAAGATGAATCTGATGAGTCTTTTGAACAGTGCAATGGCGATCCTTGTAGAGGTAGGTAGTTGTTTTTATACCGCATTTCAAGTATACTTTTTATACATTTTTTTTAGACAAAATTCCATGTGAAGATGGGAGATGTATACCAAGTGTTTGGTGTTGTGATAGGCAACATGACTTGAACTGTACTGTAACAAATAGGCCTAAATGTTGCCAGTCAATAATTTCAGAAGGTAGGTAGGGTGATTATCAGGCAAAGAGGCTCACACTGAAGTCACAATTTAGTGCAAACTTCAGCTTTCAGAGATACATCCATTCAAGTGATTGAAAATTGATGTTTGCAGGGACTCAGTTTTGGCAACAAAAATTAGTAAAATCATATACTTAAGACATTTATTCACCCACCTCATGCTGTGTAAAATGTTCAAAACCTGGTAACACATTTTTTTCTATACTAATTGCCACCAATTAATGATCAAAAATCTAGTGAAACTTTGATGTTTAGAAAATATAGTTCCCAAAAAAAGGTAATATTAACAATTATGATTGGAGAAAAAAAAAATAAATTTGAGATTTTGAGTTGAAAGCTGGTTGAGCATATTTTTCAAAACAACTGGACTTGTGATTTTGAATCTCTTGAATATGTCCTACAGGTATAGTCTCTGAAGCCTTGAGTATCAGTACTATCATACTCATTCCTAAAGTTTCTAATATATAAAAACAAGTAAAATGCGATTTATAAACACTACACCCACTTGTGAAACTTTTAGAATTGGCTGTCCACAATCAAATATTTGAACATATTGAAAGGAATTTAATTTTAATAGACAATCAGTCAAGTTTTCACAAAAACATCCAACTGGTTCAGCCTCACAGCTGTCTTTAGGGATAACTTAAAAATGCATTGGACAAGGATAAATATGTACCTAGTAACTGTTCCTTGACTCAATCTCAATAAGGCCATTCAAAACAAAAGACAGAAACATTTTTAATAAAGCTGGGATGGTATGGATTACACAGCTCTTTATATGTTTGACTGGCTAATTATTTGTGTAGACCAAGGCCAATAGTTAGAATCAATAATGAAATAATTGACATTACTAATACTGTGAAATATCTGGGTTTTCAAGTAGAAAATTGTTATTCAATAATCATTTTGAATATGTCATCAAGTACTATACTTTTTGCTCATATGTACCTTTCTCTTTCAGTTTAGTTTAAAATTAATGTTTATAAGGCAATAATACAGCCACACTATGTTTATTGCATTACTGTTCTCCATTTGAATCATAGTGCTCAGCTGCAGATTCCAAAATCAAGAAATACAATTAATTTTACATAATAATACCCATATCTTTTATTTGGCAATGGGTGCCTTTAAAGATTGTTCTACTTGAGATTATTTTTTCATGTAAGGTAAACAATGTATTATGTTATTAATTATGAACCGTATTTTTCTTATTACTATGAATATGTTGAAAATGTTTGTATATTAGGGTTTCCTATTGCAAATGAAAATTATTAAATTGTGCTATAGTTCTATCCACGTCCGAAACATGTAGTCGTGAAAAGAAGATGGCTTTTCACTAGTTCCTTTCCTAAAAGTAAATTCTTGAATCAGTTTTTGGACATTTTCGATTTTTGAATGCTCATATCTCCGAAAATTGATGTTTGTGCCAAACTTTACTTTCAAATTCGTGATTAGCATATAATATAGCATATGGCAAGTAATGATAGAAAATTTACAAACTTAGCTCGAGCCTCTCTGATAATTACTGATATGAATATACAACAGTAAAGTTGACAAATTTTGAACTTTGATTTTGTAGCTTATGAGGAATTAGAATATCCCACTATGAGTCATAGTCAGCAGAATGGAGCAAGATATTTATTCATATCAGTTTGTAAGTATATTATTTTTCCTTTCAGATAATGATTTTTTATTTTTATTTTATGCCCATGTTCAACGGTCGTCGTGCAAGTTTTTTTCTTTTCACTTTCGTATAGTTATAAAATTTCATTCATATCCAGACACCGTTTATGTAAGGTCAGTTTCCACCAGGGTCTTCGTTCAGGATTACTGTAGGTCGATCACTTCGGGGCTCATTTCCAGAACGAAATTTCGCAAACCAACGTCGTTCATTAACACTATCATTGCCAAATTCCTGTTTAATTTTTCGGGCTGTTTGAATTCGTAGAGAAAAATTGGCTGGAAATAGCTTAATGACATCATATAGTATTGAGCTGAAAGGAGGCAAAAAATTAAAATTTGGTAAAAAAGAATAGCATCAATCAATAGAGTACACTCTATTTATCAGTATATACCACGATACAGTATATTAATATTTATTGTGGTATGGAGCTACAAAAACACATTAAATTACATTAAAACGGACAAAACTCTTGAAACAACCTGATAATTAGGTGATATTTAGTTAATCAAGTATTTCCTTCAGCTTCAGATTGTTCACTAGGCTTCACTAAATTTTTATAAATGCTGTTGATATTTTATACAAATTTCATTACAACTTTATAATTAATATCCTTCTTGTATTTTTGATATTTGTGCTTTTTTTAAGGTATTGTGAGCATACTATTTTCAATCGTCCTACTTCTGCTCATAGTATCAAAAGTGATGATTTTCGCCAAGAAAACAGCTCTACAACAGCAACGCCATAGTCTTTGTGAGAACATAGCTCTTCGCAACCAAACGAATGTTAACATTATTCGCGCCAATATCAATCCGACCAATATTTATACTGTTCGCAATTATTCTCGAACACCTCGTTCCAATATTATAATAGATACTTCAGAAGTGAGCGATTCTTTACTATTTCCGTCATCCGTGGTAACTGAGGGATTCGGTGATCAACCTCCTTCATATGTGGACGTAGTGAGGAGTAACAGGATAGTCAGTGAACCACCACCTCCTTATACAAGTAGAGAGATTCTCAATGTGCATGAAGAAAGACAAGAAAGGAGTTAATATTCGATTGCAAGACGACTCATTTCTCATAAACATACAAAAAGTCTAAAAATCAAAATTTTGATGAAACAGCTAGAATTTATGTGATTACCTTATTTTAAAATTGGTTGACCCCAAGGTTTTCCATTGTAGGGCACTTGGGCACTATATTGAGAAGGTAAACTATGTACTTACAAAAAATACCCACTGCCGATTATATATTTTAATGAGTGATCCTTGAGATTTGTTTTGAGGAAGCTTAATATTTACTTTTGACATCAAAGTGTGGACTGGTTCAGTATGGAAAAAAACTATAAATATTCCTGAAATTGGCTTCATTTATGATTCACAAGGGCTTTTTCCTGGGTTTTGAATTGTTATTCAGTAGTAATATTAATGGTAATAAACATCAATTACTGGTGAATTGGTGCAGAGGTAGTGTGCCTCTAAAAAAATTACTGATCGATGGAGGAGAATGGTGTGTGTTACTCTGTTAATTTAGTTGGCTATTTAATACTTGCCAAAAATGTTTATACTTACTGTATTGTCAGAATGTGATTATGAGACATGGGTCAGACTGACTGTAGGTAGCTAAAACATATCGAAGGAAGCATATCTTTGAAATGAAATTGCTATGAAATTTTTCAAGAAGTATTATCTACACTTTGTATTTGTTGTTAAAGTGATGTTATCAATTAAAAAATCAATTAATATTTAACTTTGTTAAGTTTCTGAGTGAATTATAATACAGAGTAATTAGTTACTTGTGTATATATATATACAAGATATGATAATTTTAGGCAATAATGGCTGCTAGTTTTTTGTTTGATGAAAAATAAGTTTTTGTGACAAGTAGGAGGTATATCGTGTTTAAGATTGTAAATGACAATATGTGAGGTTTGAAAAATATTTTCAATGGGCTGACTTGAATATTTGAAAAAATAAGATCTGTAAGAGAGGAATCTAATGGTGAAATGAAATGTAAAAGCATTGTCGGGTGGCATAGTATCGCACGGGCCTTCGATCATACCTATCCTCGGCTGACGATTTTATCTCAGACTTTAAGATAGCCGGCTACTGACTGGGCCACTTCAACTCTATGTAAAAGTATCGATTGAAAACCACCCTATTTTATCATTTGTTGACTTATGAATCAGACTGGTATTTCGTACTTGTATTTTGAGATTGAATATATTTTAGGAACAAATAAATATATTTTTTATGTTTTGTTTTTTTTACTCATGGAGAAATCCATTACCTATAAATATTCAGTAAAGTATTTATTGAATATTTTCTGAAGTTATTGATTATTGTGATGGTTCATGTGCTATGGTCAAAGCTTTTACAGGTTGTTATTGTTAATAATAATAATAACGATAACAATATTCAATTCCTAATTATATTAAACGACTATTACAGGAAACGACCTACATGACTGATAATTATATATGTCCTCTTTTATGCCATTTTAATAGTACGAGTAAGTCATGAAGAAAATGGACGAATGTATGAAACATTTCCTTTTTTTATCCAGACATTCAATTTCTGCACAGCTTTTCTCACTCGAGTACTTGTTACTGCTTAGAAGTTTTCCTTGCTATCGATGAATGGCTTTGGTTGATCATTAAGCAGAATATAAGAGGGTTCCATCAATGAACTTTTGGGAGTCGAAACATTTTTCGGTTGCCGAACTGAACTTTGTGCTGGTGGTTCTTTTTCTTTTACTGCTATTTCAGAATTATAGCTATGAGAAAGAGATGATTGAATGATCTCATCGAATATATTTCCATGAGATGAACAATTTACTGTCAACTTTGTTGTAATAATGCAATAAATTTTCCCTTTTACTTTTTAACGTGCAAGAAATCGCACGTTGAAGGGCAAGACCTCGTTATTTCTCATTTCGCACAATTTTCTACTATTGAGGATGTCGTTCATACCGGGCGACATTTGATTAACATAAAAACAGATTTTAATTGTCAGATAATAGCATTTCCTAAAATTTCCATGAAAGTTTTCAATTATATTAAGCAAAAAAACTGAAATTACAATGAAATGAAATACAAGCAATAACCAAAAAAATAAATAAACTATTAACACGATATGAAAACTAAAAAATTATTAACAAGAAATGAAAATTAAAAATTAAAAGATTCCAAACCAAGTTACTTCATGACGTTTCGATTGTTAGTATCCACAATCGTCTTCGGGTGATAACGTCGTGAAGTAACTTGGTTTGGAATCTTTTAATTTTGAATTTTCATTCCTTGTTAACTAATCAATAGCTTCTAGAGTCGAATTATGTTACCTATAAAGAAATTCGCAAAACATAACCGTCAACGACGTCTGCCCTCACGCGCCTGCCTGCGTTTGGGTCACGTTCTCGGCGATGACGCTTCATTGCTTAGACCGCTCCTCTAACTCCGAGCATCGTCCCTCGTCGTCCTACAGTAGACGTGACGCGTAATGACGTCCTGCGTTGCGTCAAGTTAATATTATCGGGATAACTTTTGAACGTTTTGTCCAAATTACAAAGACAATGTGTATCTATAAATACGTTAAACGACAATTGTATCAATTTTTATGAAAGTGACAATCAATCAATCAATCAATATGCTTTATTGTCGGAAGATTAGTATCTTATTGACAAAGTCTTGTAAAAAAATCAAATGAATGTCATAAAAAATACAAAATACAATACATGACATAAAATATAAAAAATACAAACAGCAATTTCACAAATAAAACATACGTGACATAAAATATAAAAAATACAAACATAGCAATTTCACAAATAAAACATTAAGAAGACATATGAGTTTAGGTGAACATTATATGTTATCATGGTAGACTTCATGGATCGAATAATAAGCTTTTTTGATTAAAAGATCTTTAACTGTACTTCTGAACTTTTTGATATCTATGCTATTTTTTAGAATGGTAGGAAGGTGATTATATACTATAATACTTTCATAAATCAGAGAATGCTGAGTCAAGGTGAATTTTGGAATAGGTAAGTAAAGCATATGGTTCTGTCTGGTGTTGTGACAATTTGTTCCGGGAGTGTACATGCTAGTTTTATTTTTATGAATTAAGCATACTGTTTCCATTATGTATAAACAGGTGACAGTTAATATTTTGTGGCTGATGAATAAACGCTTGCAATGATCTCTCGGCTTAGACTTTGCAAGGTATCTCAAAGACCTCTTCTGTAGCTTAAATATCGTATTCTGTAATTGTAAACTACGATGGCCCCAGAAAGCTATTCTATAGCGAATATGAGATTCGATCAGTGCAAAGTGAGCCTATTCTAGCTGTAGTGTGCCCTAGTTCACTTGATATCACTCTTATAGCATAACATTCACTAGATACTTTTTTACTCAGATGGGATAATGTTCTTTAAAATTTAATTTATTGTCTATGCGAATGCCTAGGAATTTAGTGTGCTGTTTGTTTTCTATGTAGTGGTTATCTAAATCGTCTAGTATACGTTTGAAAGTAACTAGTTTTGTTTTGTTTAGGTTGAAGCCCAAGGAGTTTGCGTCACACCAGGCTTTTATTTGTTGAATATCTATTTTTATCGTATTTGATAGCTGATTAATTTCTTCATTACTCCATATAATAGTGGTATCGTCGGCAAATACAGTAAATTGTCCTGCGATGTTAATGGTTATTAGGTCATTTAAGTAGATTAAAAAACAAAACTGGTCCTAAAACAGACCCCTGAGGTACTCCATGTTTTATGTCACTGAGATGATACTGTCCACTTGATGTTTTCACCACCTGTCGAGGTCCTGTCAAATATAAACCAAACCAGTTCAAATTTGTTCCTCTTATCCCATAATGGCTGAGTTTCCGCAGCAGTGTCTTATGATCAACGCAATCGAAAGCTTTCGAAAAATCACAAAACACTGATGCAACAGCCTTGCTATCATTTATGCTAGAGTATGCATTTTCTAGAAAGGAAAAAATGGCATCTGTGGTATTTTTCGAACTTTGAAAACCGAACTGAAGGCTAGATAGCACATTGTTCATCGATAAGAAGGACATCAGTCTTTTTTCACTAATCTTTCAATAATGTTTGAAAGGGTGGATTATAAAGAAATGGGCCTGAAATTTGAGGGGTCGTATTAAAAAATTTGCATTGTAAAAAAGTATTCAATTTAATTGTATTTATGGCTCAGTATTTTGCATATATTGTCTACCACATAAGAGGTAGATATATGCTATCGCGAACTTTTATTTAAAACTATTTAAGATAAACAATCTTACGGTACATTATCTTCATGTAATTCCAACGGTGTAGGTAGAGCACGCCAAGATAGCTAGCTCTCAGGAAGTAATAATTTTTCCGACTTACTTGATACTTATCGTTATATTATGACCAAAATTGCAACAAAAACCTAGTTGTTATTCTAGTCTATAAGCTGTATTTATGTAAAGTTTTATCTAAATCCGTTCAGTCGTTTAGGCGGATAAGAGCCATAAACATACATACATCCTCACAAACTTTCACATTTATATTAGTATGAAAATAGTATGGCCGGTTAAACTCCATTAATTTCAGTACTGTATCAAAAAGTTTGCTTATGTCGAAATCATCTTCTGTGCCTGTCAAATTTCTCAAGGCATTTTTCATTGTTTGGACGTATCTTCCAACTTGATCATTTATTTCTGGATCATATGGTGCTGAATATTTATGCTAGATTCAAAAAATTCTCAAATTCCTGTGACTTGGAACTTGGGCCATTATCACCAGTGTTACTGGTAGACCATAACGAGCACATATTACGCATGACAGAAATTGTTTGGAGGCAGACATAAGTAATGAAAATGCTTTCTGTTCACTTAGAAAATGCACCAACTTCTAACAAAAAATATGTCTCATTAATGACCCAGCAAAATCCACATGTATTCGTTGCAAAGAGGATCTAGGATATTCCCAACAATTAGATGGTACGTTGACAGGTTTATTCTGGATATTTCAGCATGGTATACAACTATTCACTAATTATTCGATGTCAAGCTCAATTTAAGGATACCAAATGCAAGAAAAGTTTTTCTTGAATGGAAAATGGAAAACATGGCTTATTATCTGCCATTGGAACTTCCTTTCGTAATAATAGCGGAAAAATATGTTGCAAACCCAAAATTGTAGTTGCTTGTTTATCCATTTAGCTATAATTTCTCTCTAAGTAAGCAAACAGGTGTTTCACGGCCATCCGGCATGATATAAGAGAGAACCACATAGGGAATTTCATCCGTTGCTAGTACCAATGGTATGTTGGGATCACAAGGAATTTCATTTCGAATAGTCTCTCGTTTCATAAATGGAAAGTATCTTGACATTGTCCTATACAGTGAAACGTATTTTTTCTTGTAGTAGATTATACAATGGACATACTATTAGATCAATTAATGAATCACATAATTTTATTGTAAAACAACGATAAAAATAAAACTAACAATAGACATAGTTTCGTTGAAAAATCTTTGAGAAATCTACCATAGCAGTTTACAAACTCGGAATATTTGTTGTGTGTGACCTTTGCACTGACTACCGCTGATGTGTTCTCTATTCCTCTGTCGAGTATAGTATGTTCCAGATACGTGATTTTTAACTCTAAAAATTGCATCTATTGAAAACACTTTCCCAATACCAGAACAAAAATTTGTAGTTTTTAAACTACTTTTAAAAAACGTTTTTATTAATTCTTTATTATATCATCATCTAAACAAACACATCTCCTAGCGACACCTAGCATACTCTATTTGAAGGAAATTGTAGGGCACTACATTACACCCCCCTTAAAAAAATATTAAACGCGGAAATGAACTCTTCTTCCAAAACGGGTTACATAATTTGATTTTTCTGGATTTTCATTTTGATTTTCTGATTTCTTCTTGAGAATTCCATTTGGTGTATTTGGAAATTTTGCATTTTCAGGTAAATTTTCCTTTGATGATTCTATAAAAGCTGGCTTCAACCTATCAATCGAAATATTCTTTCTTTTTCCATTCACTGAAAGTGTAAAATATTTTTCGGTCCTTTCTAAAACCTTGTAGGGATCAGAATAAGGAGTTTGCAATGGTTTTTTAACACAATCTGTTCTTAGAAAAACATGAGAGGTGTTTCGCAATTCCTTATGAACAAACATTTTTTTCTCTCCATGATGACTGGACTGATCGTTGATTTTTATGTTTCTCATGGTTTTTTGTAAAGTTT